TCATGCTGGCTGTAGATCAAATCGTCTCGCGGGATTTAGGGCGGATACGTAGTTACAAGGGACGGCACGTTACAGAGACGACGAGACACAGGGGAAGGCGAGAGCTCGAGCCAGCGAGATGCAAAGCGGGAGAGATACAGGTCTCTTTTATATACCACGGATGAACGTAAATGGGTGCTCTCCGCCGAGATGGATCTAGAGTACATCTCACTTCACGACGGATCGAGGGTCGTTATCTATCCCGGAGAGGAGGAGAGTGCGTGTCACCCTCCGCGCGAGATTCTGCGAAGATCTAAAAATTTATGCCCTTCAGCGGGATTACCTACTGCCGCGGCTCAGTGCTTCGGCTTTATTATTAATGGGCGCGAGTGAAAAATTAATAGTTGACGGACACACGTCAGTTAATGGGCGATTAAGATAAGCGCGACACTTTTCTCTCGACGGACGACTCGGCTGAGAATTCCACAGGTACTGTGGAGTTCCGTCATACTTTGCACTGTACTATTTCTCTCTTTCTCTCTCTCTCTCTCTCTCTCTCTCTCTCTCTCTCTCTCTCTCTCTCTCTCTCTCTGCCACTTACAAGATTTCAAATAAATAGGAGTTCCAAAGTTTAATTGCCGCGATAATTAATGTCGCGAAGTACGAAGTTATACAGCGACCAAGTTGGAACAACGGCATTCTGTCATCCTTTTTCGTTTTCAGGCGAAGTCGACCCCGGGTTCATCAAAGAATCCATAGTCGAGGAAAGATGCAGTAAATCTTGGACAGTCCATATAAAGTGCCTTCCCCCCTCTCAAGTTCCCACATTGTATTCTCTTTCATAGCTGGACCTTCTTTGATAAATCTACCGCTCTACCTTTTTTCCCCTGAAAGTTTCATCGGGTTCCATCTTTCTCGATAAAATTTCCAGCGCGCTCCCAATGCCTCGCCTTAAAACTATTTTCTCCAGTTAAAATTCTACCGGGACCAAGTTCCATGTGAGTGTCAAGGAAGGATGAAGTTGCTCACGTCTAATTACACGGTCCGAAGCTTCAAGCGCGGCAATCGCCGGGATTATCGATCGCTCGCGCTTCGGCGGTCGATTGAGGGGACTCAGCAGGTGAAAGAAGGCGTATGGGGGGAAATCTCTGAATCGCCCGGTTCGCAGCGATTCGCAGGGATAATAATCATCCAGCAGATCATCCAGCTTGTTACGATTTCTTTGGGAATTACCTCGCTGCACTGCGATCCCCGTTCATTGCCTCCCGAGAGCGATACACAGGGAGTGTTGCGGAAGGCGTGGTAATTAGATGACAGAGACTCGAATTTATGGCTTGCCGCTCGTCCCGTGCGAGTGCATCGCGTTTTCATCGGCGGCGGACAGTATCGCGCTTGCGAATCGGCCAAGACGGAGAACGGCGAACGCTGTGCGAGGCGAAATTAACGTGACGCAATTAATTCCTCGCGTTACCACTGCCCTTTTCGCGCGGGACGTAAATGGAACGCGATCCCGACGACGATCGACGATGTCGGAGAAGCTGCTGGACGTCGTATCAATCGTATCGTCGTTTTACAGTTGCGGAACAATTGTACGATGTTAACAATCGTCAAGCGCCAGCGTTAACAGTCGTCGCGCCGCGTTTTATCAAGAATCGATTAAACGTGCTCAAAAGGAAATAATCATCTCTAGGGTATTATGTGTCTTTGATACGAGAGATGCTTGAAATGTAAACAATTATGAAAATAATTGAACTCGTAATAATTACATTTATCCTATCCCTAAGATATTAACGACAATTGTGAATTCTCGAGATACAACACGATGTGTCAACACGAGCATCAAAGATTTCTATATTTGCATACGATTTGGAGGAGAAGGTGGTGTTATGGCCGCTCTCATTATCTCGTCATTAAATAGCGAATTCCAGTTATTATTTATGGAATCATTCGTTTAGAAGTTCGCCGTTAGCGCAGTGACGCTAATAATATCAATACATAATAACTGGAATTTTTTATAACGCGTTTTTACTTCCGAGCATTTCGAAATGTTTTTCAAGGTATAGTTTAGCATTTAATTAGACAAGTTTCCTCATTATTTTGAAATTTTAAGCGCATTATCACCCGAACATGTGTACAATTGTGGATATTTTGTTTGTTACTTGACATTTTATTCGGCCGTACATCTTTCAAGTTATGCAAAGTCAAATGAAATAGCACGACTTTGCTAATGTGACCTCCCCGTAAGAGTGCTGATAAAGACTGTCTCTTTCTCGAGGTTTTTATATCAAAGTAATTATTCGATAAGTCGATTTTGTAATCCGTAGTCCACTTTTGCACTTCTATTTGCATTGCACACCGCTGCCTTTCTGGCAGATTGTATTTCCTAACAAGTAATAAAGTAAGTATTTTCCTAACAGGTAAGTCAGTATCCACATTAAAACTATTATTATTATATTATATTCATTATTATTTCCCTTCTAGGAGTTTAATTTAAATTAATATATAATTTCGTGACGTTAAACTAAACACTGTGTTAGTTTAAGCGAAATCAATATTTTATATCAGTTTCAGTGGGAGGCCACATTGCCATCCCATTTTCTCGTCGACCCATTGTGCTGTGTTGCAACATTTTTATAAATAACATCATAAATAATAAAATTACGTAGATGTGAGTCTACAATCGATTAAACAATACTGTGACGAATGCAATCGTTCAGTTCTCACTTTAAAATATTGATTATTGACAAAGGTTATTGTGACAAAACGTGAATAGAGGGCCATAATATCAACTTCTGCATATTGTTCGTACATTCGCTTCGCGATACGCCAAGTCCGAACTTTATCGTGCGACGTCACATTTTCCCCTCTATCATGTCATATCTTCCACCGTTTTCTCCGTTCCGGAGGGTAACGTGCCTCTAATTTCATCGAGCAAATCTCCCCCAGTTCATCGATCACCGAACGCCGCATGTGTCCGCGGCACTTACATTGTTTTGCAATTCTAGTCCGGGAATTCGGAGCTCGAGCTCCACATGACGGTGTTCGCGATAGCGGGGACACCGACTCGGCTCTTAAGCATCGAAAGTTAATTTAACTTTCCCCGACACTCGCAGTGGCAGTATCACCATGGTTGCTGGCGTTTCGATCAACCCTACAGCCGGGGGACTCGCCGCCCCGAGAAGATTTCATCCCGGATACATCGAGGGTTCGGAAAGAATCACGGCGGCCACGAGGGAGAAAGAACGAGACGAGCTACGCGAACGGCACCGCTACGCAATTTCGAAAGTTGGCCGAGGACGAGCTCTAAGCAAGCCGAACCCAAGCGCGAAATCGTCCCGGTGACAAAAACTTTGGGACAAGTGCAGCTATGAACGCGCGCGCGCGCGCGCGAGACTTGACGATGTTAATCAAAAAGTTGCAGCGACGAGCTCGTAAACGTCGCCTACCCGCGCTCCCTTTTTCCTGCATTTCCATCCATTTTGCGGAATTTCGCGAAGCATTCCAAGCATTGGCTTGGACGAAACGGCCGAGCAGCGCGACGGCATCCCGCGAGGTGTTGCATCGTTTCCCAAAATCGGCGAATATTCCGAGCGCTCGCATAAGTTGCGAATACGTAAGACCGTTTTCTCGCACATGCGGCTCCGTGTCATTTGCATTCGCGACTAACTACCACTCGTCGTCGTCGTCGTAACTTTCCTGCACTGATTGAGGAAACCGGTTGAGGGCTCGGCTTGGCTGCGCGCGCGCGCTCGTCGAGTTTATAGTGTAACGTCATTCTGACCCGTCGACACAGAATGATTAGAGATCGAGATTATGCCATTTGCATCGCGAAGCGCGCTAATATGCAACCGCGCCTCTCCCGTGCGTGATTGTGCATTGCCGCACTCGCGTTACGAAGATTTATTGCTCGATTTAATACCCAACTGTACAACGTTCTGATAAAAAAAATATGTATACATTTATTTATTTATTTATTTATCTATTTACATTCGTTTTGAATAGACGATCGCTCTGAATACACGCGAGAAAATTGCAACGTAAGGCCTGTACGCTGCCGAGAGTTTCATTCCGCGTGTGTATAAAAACATTAATAAATGAACGAATTACGGAATTTTGAACAAAGCGGAGCACCGTTCGTTGCTCGATTTTTGCTCCAAGAGAAAGCCGGTAATCCCCAGGTTCGCGCGGGCTGCCGTAGTTGCGGATGCAAATGGGGTAATTTGATTTCACGAGACATAATATCGAGAGATTAGCGATGAATCCGCAGGGGCTAATAAAACATGAATATCGTGGTATCGGTCGATAGCGTTCCTATACACAAACAATGTCAACTGCCGACTACGAATCGCTCGACAGACGGACGTCCCGTCAAACGTTCCTGCCGAGACGAGGGAAAGCTCCGTGACCGAGAAGGGATGCTGTGAAGCAGTCGAACGCGCCGTATGATATGCTTATACCATTATACGAGTATTATAGCGGCGAGTGAAAGATATATTCGGGAGTATAAATCGGGATATTAAATTAAAAACTCTCTTGGGGTGACCCACTTCCGCTCACTTGAACTTACTCCGCCGACCGGGCTCCGAGCCGTTGGAGGCTGGAGCGTCTCTTATCTCTCATCGCTACATTTTCTCCGAGAGGCAAAAACTTGAAAAAAGAGTAAGAAAAAGGAAAAGCTCCCCCCCCCCCCACCCGAGTAAAACGATTCATGCTGCAGCAGCAGCTGCCCGCTCACCAAGAGTCAAGATCGCGAATTTCGGTGTTTCGAATGTCCACCCCCAACTCCTGTTTCCGCGGTAGCGACGGTAAACACGAGATAATCGAGAAACGATGAGCATTAATTCTCACGAAAGAGTCGACCGCACGAGCCAATTAGCATTCATGCGAAAAATACCCGTCCCGCTCATTTGTCCGTTCGTTCGCCTCGGACACCCCCGCGAATACCCCCACTCGACGCTGCTGCACGCGTGCACGCTGAAGAGCGCAGCAAGAGCGCGCGTTTGCACCGCGACAGTACTGACCTTGACTTTCCGACATCTCCGGGCGGCGATGGATCTTGACTGCCTCCTGAGCGCCTCCAGAGGAACGCGTTGCCTTCAGGATGCGTTGCCGGCGGATGCACCTCGTCACTGCACAGCGGCACCACTACCACTTCCTGTTCTTCTTCCTCTTCTTCCTCTTCTGCCTTCCGTTATTCTTCCTCGCGTTACTACGAGCCCCACACTCGATTAAGAGCAGTCGCGACAGGTCACGGGCTCTCTCGTCGTCGTTCACGATATCGCGGACGGGGACGATCACTGGCGTGCGACGATGAGAGCGGGCTGATGATGCGCGCGGCAACGGCGGGGGTTGCGGTACATTCGCGAACAGTGAGCGCGTAGGGATGCACGCGGTGCACTCTCTCTTTTCCTCTGTTTTCGTTCTCTTGCTTCCTCTCTCTTTCTCTCTCTCTCTCTCTCTCTCTCTCTCTCTTTCTCTCTCTCTCTCTCTCTCTTTCTCTCTGCCCCTCTCATGCGACGCGACGACTACGAATCGCTCGCGGCGCGGCTTGGGCGGGGACTGAGCGCGAGGACTGAGGCGTCCCGACACTCTCTCGGCGTCGCACCCATCCCCGCCTAACCTCGCCGATATCCCGCGGGCGGATAGATAACGCCTGCCAGAATTTCCACCTCCTGCTGCTCTTACCCCCTCATCCCGTACACCGTAGCCAACAGCACCCTACGAGATCGGAAAGTTTCCCTTTCGATGCTCTCCGCAGCCGCTCTTAACCCCTTTCGGGGATGGTCGTTGCCGCCGCCGCCGCCGCCGCCGCCGTTGCGCCGTTCGGTACCGCAACCCACTTGTGTCCGTTAGCCTTAACAGCGCCGAGATCACGTCAGTTTTGAAACTGCAAGTACCAACGGAAGTGTTATTAATTTGCGCGCTTTCCGCCCGAGGAGTCCTATTTTCTAGTTATCAACGAAAATTATGCCACAAGCTGTACACAACTGTACACAACTATGCGGTGAAATATACAACGATTTCCTGACCCCTGAAGAGACACCGGAGCAATGTAAAATTGCTCTCTTTTTTTACGCAATGTTATTTTACGAAATTTTCCGAATTAAAATGTAGATTGATCAATTATTAATCTATCGCCTGGATAGCGGAAAACTTATTTATTAACGTATAAAAATTTCAACCAAATTATTACAAACTAATTGAATGATCCGACGTAATATTGTAACACTCATGAATTTGATAGTGACATTACAAATTAATATAATAATTCATTAAATATATGTAAACTATTTACACCTAATCCTCTTTATTAAATTTACAGCCATATTAAATTATTCGCCCGTTGCATGCGCGATCGTAATATCTATTTTGCTCGTACCAGCTGAGGTACTATATGTACCTTTCATCATTCGTAGGCTATATGTATATTAACGGACCGCCATATTTTCGCACGAATGTGTCGTTCTTACACAACCTCATGCGATCGAATGAATATAACCCCGCATGAATATAATCAACACAAGCATATATTTAAAGGTTAGATGCTCTTTCGTATCAAAGGGATGCAATTGATTGGTACCTGCGAGATAACTGACGAGTAAACGATAAATTCTCAGAGCGTCAGACGGAGGATGTTGACGTTCTCTTGAATATTTACTGACGCAATCTTTCAGCGGCGACGTACGACCGTTTCGTTTTCTCAATGTCGAACTCATAATGATATTCTGAAAGCAGTTAATACTCGTTGAGTAATGTTTATCTTTAGTGGTCGCGTAGCGATCCTCTGTATTTATTGCTGATTCAGCGTCTATCATTGATACATAGCTATCAAATTACCTTTTAAGATCTATAACTGTGCAAATATGTTCTCTTGTCCTGCAGGTAGACATAGAATAATCGGAAGTTCATTTGAAACTGCGGACTACAATTTACAATAATGGCTGACTCGTTCAAATTTGGGCTGCTAACAGCTGTTTAGCGCCATCTACCGGTGACAAACATAGACTTGTTCGCCTTTAAACCTAGACTCACCGACGAGATACTACTATAAAGACTGTTGGCCTTACGGGATTTAGCGTACCAGAGAAATTTTGCTGTGCACTAGCACCCTCTTAGGAATATCGTGGCCGAAATATAAAACACAGCTCGAAGTAAGTATGGATGGTAACAGATATAGAATAATGGGAAAAAGGTATCGGAAGATATCAGACTATAAATACAGAAAACAGACCGAATATGTATGTATGTCTCTTAGGATTGCAAGACGTGAGAAAATTTAGAATAATTTTTATTTTAAATATATACACACGTTGGCATTCCTTAATTTAATAATTCGAAGTTGAAATAATACTAAAATTGCAATCCGGAACATATATACAGAGTATTCCACAAATTCCTCGCTCCGAGGAATCCATGAAGACATAGAACGGATTAAGATAAATATAAAATTCCCATACCATTTTGCGATGTTTGCAACAACCGAACTATTAATTACAGAAATGTAACGAATGAGCACGCGCCGAGATGGTCTCGAAAAAGCAACGAAGCCGCTCGAGCTAAGCATGGCCTATATGGTCTAACGACAGTTGCCAACGTACAAGAAGAAGAAGAAGAAGAAGGACAAGCCGCCGCTACTCGTGTTTTATCTCGTCGCTCTTGCGTTAATATACTGATCATGAACGAAGTTACTTTTTTTCTACAGCTGGACGAAGACGACGACGATGACGACGAAGGACTACGACGACGACCACGACGACGTCGACGACGACGACGACGATGGCTTTAATACTTTCTTTGATACTTTCCGATATCTTTTTTTCATTATTCCATATCATGCATGCTTATCATCCATGTTATCATCCATGCTTATTTCAAGCTATGTTCCATATTTCGGCCACGATATTCCTAAGACAGCGCTAGTGCACAGCGAAATTTCTCTGGTACGCTAAATCCCATAAAACCAACAGTCTTTGTACACCTGTATTCATAGTCAAGCCTTATATTTAAGATTTCCTTAAGTTTATCTTCAGATGGTCTGCAGCCAATAAAATAATCCGTGCAGCATCTAAAGATGGATATAAGGAAGCCTCAAGTATAAGGCCTGACTATGAATACGGGTAATAGCAGAGTGAAACCTGAAAGCGGTCAACACGACATTTTCTGCTACACTGACTTTCCGCACTGGGTAAAGGTACGCCATCTGCATCCATTTTGAGAGGGGAACTACCATGGTACATCCACTTTCAGGTCTCGGTGGTAAAATCTACATGTGGTGGAAGTCCGTGCTACATCCATTTTCAGGCGGTTTATGTCCGTGCTGCAACCACAGTTGCCATCTCCATACCAGACTATGCCCGGTAGTCTAAAAAGAGCGGGGGGGAAGAGGGAGGAGCAGAAAAAATAAAACGTACGTATTAAATGTTAAATCTTCGAATACATGTTGCCGTATCAAAGTCTCCTTTATAATAAACGATTTGTCATGTCTGGAGACGCATGATGTATCGTTGCCCGCGTCCCGTTCCCTTCGTCCTACTTCTCAATTCAGCATCCCGTCCGCTCCGGACGTTCGCTCATAGCACTGACAGTATATATTTTTTTATTTTCGAAATAAAAAAAGCCAAACGAATGCAATTAAATGTTATTTATCATCATTGAATATTAGATGAAAAGTAGAAGAGTTATTGTCCGCAGCGGATAATCTCTCTTAAAAAAAAATGTCGAACTGAAACATATTAAAAAGTATTGACATTTTGAATACGTCTGAATTCTGCTTTCTGATCCGAAGAAAGGGACTAAAAAATATTAGTTCTGATTAAATTTCACCGCGCTAAATGCGAGATGCAATTACTTTCGTCAATCTCTGTCTATCTAATTATTTATTGCGTTGTTGTATACAAGAGATACTGATCCAGACAGAGACGGATAACGGTCCATGAACGCGGATCTCCAATTCATCATGTTCTCAATCAAACATTCTGAATAATTCTCAACTGTGTGAGTATACCGGTCTTGTGTAGAATATTCAACGTCATACCGCTTCTTAGACTGCGACCTTCCTTGTTTTCGGTCAGTTCTTTCAAGTCTGTTTACTCTCGTTACGGGATTTAAATTTAAATGTCCATTCGTAAAAGAGTATTTTCGAGAGCACAACTATTGTCTCCGCTTCTTGTTGTCATTTTTTTTCGTCAGCTCTTTCAAGAGCTCCTATCAAGACATTCAATGTCAATGAAGAAAAAAAATCGTAGCGAATATTCTCCACTCATCCCGACCAAACATTCTTTCTCTACCGCAGCTTACCAATCAAGAACGCTAAATTTTTGTTCCAGACGTTGCGAGAAGCAAGTCCGGCGGACGCGGATGCTGCACCGGAGGATCCGGTTCGGGCAGAGCAGGGTCGGCCGGAAGGTAAAGTTTACAAGTTTCCTACACATCTGTGTTCAACTCTTTACGATCTTTGCCTTTGTAACTTGTTCCTCATCAGCTCTCTTGAAAGCTTCAAGTCCCATTTAAATTTTCAATGTTGGAACAAAAATATAAAGATAAAAATTCCGTATCAAAATATATCTGTATTTTCGATTCGTCCCGATCAAAGATATTCTCTCTCTAGGTTCTTTCTTCGCAGGTCATCAACCGAGAAAATTATTTTTCCGTTTCAGTTGCGGAAAGCAAAGTCCTTTCAAAACCCTACATTTTGCCGTAAATGGCGACTCTCTACTCCCAGTAGAAGCGGAGATATCAACGGAGAAAGGTTGGAAAACTTTAATCTTCGATATCTCCTAAACGGTTAGAGATACAGGCCTGGCTCTGGTGCCAAATTAAAGTCCTCTCAAAACCCTACATTTTCGACTACATGGACGACTCTCTACTCCCAGTAGAAGCGGAGATATCGACGGGGGAAGGCTGGATATCGACGGAGAATGGCTGGAAAACTTTAACCTTCGATATCTCCTAAACGGTTAGAGATACAGGCCTGGCTCTGGTACCAAATTAAAGTCCTTTCAAAACCCTACATTTTGTCGTAAATGGCTACTCTCTACTCCCAGTAGAAGCGGAGATATCAACGGAGAAAGGTTGGAAAACTTTAATCTTCGATATCTCCTAAACGGTTAGAGATACAGGCCTGGCTCTGGTACCAAATTAAAGTCCTCTCAAATCCCTACATTTTCGACTACATGGACGATTCGTGCATCGAGATAATTATATGTAATAATGATAATATATTAATATTTTTCCCTATTCGTGAATAGGCAAATATGGGTCAATCGATTTTCCACCTCGATCACCGGATTTCACTGTCCTGGATTATTATTTATGGGGAAGTGTAAAAGACAGTACTTATACCGTAATCGTCCAACTACAAGGAATGACATAATTACCAGAATAACAGAAGCAATTGAATCTTTAAGTAGCGCTGAAATTCTTCGAGCAACCAATTCTTTTCAAAATAGAGTAAACATTTGCATTGAAAAGATTGGTGCTCAATTTGAACACTACCTTACTTGAGTACAGACACACACACATACACGCACGCACACGCACGCACGCACTTGAGAGGCAAGGGGATTACTCATATTAAACCCACACCCGAAAGGGAACAGAATTCTGCTACGTCCACGTCGTTCTTCTTGGATAGCGCTGAAAGTAAAATGATCCGAATTTTTTTAAACATGCATAACTACAGAGATTTGAGTGAAAAGGTAAGTTGACCTTAAAATAATACCTATTTACTTGACCCTATAACAACGTACAACATATTTTGTACTTGATGTCAAAATACTGCTAGGTACTGCTTTGGAGCCTCATAACTCGAAAAGTACTCAATGAAAAAATATTTTGTTATAGTGTTTTGGAAAGCTCTCGAGATAAGCTACAAGAATATGTAATGAGAATATGTAATGAGAATATGTAATGAGAAATAGTAATTCTTTAAGGTCAAACCAATGATACCATCTTACGTCACCCTTGCAGCCATACAACTTTTGTCAGAAACATTTTTCTTTAAAATGTTCTATTTCCGAAATAAAAGGGCTGTACGGGTAGTCTACATCACCCTATATATATATTAATAGATTTATATCATCAGATATGAAGGAAATATTTTGTTAACGGAAAAATAAAACTCATAGCAATTGTATGAATAAGAGAGGACAATTTATTACAATTATACATAATACATTAATACAAGAGATTTGCATATAAAATTTTACATAAAGTGTAATGTTGTTTGAATAATTAACTGAATGTATTCTTATAAATTTTTTCTATAATTTAGAAGCACAACAAAAATTCAAAATCTGATTTTAAAAAAGACCTTGATATATCAGAAATCTCTTAAGAAACATTTTATCTATACAGAAAAATTCCCAAGATTTTTCTTTTAAACACAGTATAATCCAACAAGAATAGCTTTGGCTTAGTATAAGAGGTAGAGAAGATTCGAAATATAGATACTTTTTTATAAGATTATATGTAGATAGATCTTATTGTAAATTTCAATGATGAAGAATGCACACTAGACATGAATAAGTGATCAAAAGGAAATCGGTCTATATATATACCACTTTATACATACAGGCCTGTTTTTTGTACCAAAATATAGTGCTGTAAAAACGCTCTTCCATAAATTACGACTCCCATCTCACTCAGAAAATTTATTTTCGGAAATCCGACGTTTCATTCAGAGTTCTGGTCCCCCAGGTTATCCCTGCAGCTCCCTATAGCGGCGTGTTGTCTTTCCTTTCACCTCGCACCGACAATAGTTGCTAGCTGTATTATCTTGAGCGTAGCTATAGCACAGTCGCTATTATCATCGCTCTTCAATTACCACCGGGTCCTTGGGCCCCCTTGGTCAATACGAAAATTTACCCAGGGTTGACAGTCTTTATATTACCTCGTCGGTAGCTGCACTGGCAACTAAACTGGTAATAAAATAGAGTGAGACAAGTATATTTGTTCTCACTTTAACTTATTGCATTAGTTTGCAATTAGTTTAAAAGAACAGATTATTAATCAAACTTTCATTTTTCAAGTAGTGTAACTCTACAATAAATTAGGCAGACCTTAAGTTTAATCGATATGATTGAACGAAATGTCAGAAGATTGTTATTTTTAAACAATGTTACTAAAAAATTTAAATAAATTGTTTTTTTCTGATAGCACAACTTACAATGACAAAATGAATAAATTTTTATTCTTTAGCAAAATAACCAGAGAATCGAATGGGAACTTCTGTCTTTATTTATTCTATGATATTAGTACTTTTATATTAGATTTATGAATTAAAATGTTTAATATATTACTTAAGAACAATAAAGCAATGCCTTAAAATTGTTTTCCATATGTATTAATATATTTCGTCATGCATATTAATGATTAAACCTCAATATATCTCAGTCGTGTATTGTATCTGTGACATGTCAATAGAAACCATATTGATATGAGAAATTCGAATGTTAACTAAATTATTTTAAAATTATTTATTCCGAAATAGCTTTTTTTTCTATAATCTTTAGTTATATCTTTCGGTGGTTGTATGTTTCATAAATTGCGTGCGACAAGATGTTTGATTCGGAGAATGACACATTGAAACGCGGGTGAGTATGAGGTTAGAAAAAGTCTCAAATATTATTGCATTTTATTAAATATAATTGATATATATTTTTTTTTATATATCAGAGAGCAACACATTATTCTTCAAGAATATAATAATATCATCAAAGAACTCAAACAGGAGTTGGAGGTTTGCAAAGTGAGTTATGACAATCCATTTAACAACAACATGTATTACATTCTCTAATAATTGTATATTATTTTCAAATAGCTATTTGTGTAACAATAATTATATACGTAATAGAGATACTTCTTTTAGACAGAGCAAAATGGCATACGCTCTCAACTTCAATCTTTGCATATCGAAACCAAAGATAGTAGTGATGCCATACGTGATTATATTTCACGGATCCATCTGGAAGAATGTGGTAATGAAGATGCATATAACAAGATAGTCACGAATTTAAAAGAACGCATTGCAGTTTTGCAAATGGAGAAAGACTCTGCAGTACAATTATGGCAGGTGTCAATGAAAGCTGTGGATGCTTTGGAGCAAGAGTTACGAACTCGTTCAGTAGATAGTAAAGATGTAAAATTTTATGAAGAACAACTGAAAGATGTTAGACAATCATATTCAGAAGCCATAAAGGCTTTAGAAGGCAAATTACTTCAAGCTAAGGAGAATTTTGCAAAACAGCAGTCATTATGGATGTCTAACAAGGAGACAACAGAAACTCTAAGACGTGAGAAACAAGAATTGACGAAACAACTTCAAGAATTTCAACAAGATGTTCAGCAGAGAGGTCAGTTATTTATATAATTTGTAATTTGAAACATATGAAGAATATCATGTATCACTAATTTCATTAAAGACAGGAATAATCAGCAGAGAATACAGTCGTTAACAGAGGAGTTATCTGTCGCGAGGGCAGAGACGCAGAATTTAAATCATTTGAAATCCGACCTAGAGAGGAAGTTAAACGAGAGTAGAAAAGTCGCCAGTAACATTCTGGCAAAGAACGAGGAAACGAAATATAAAATGGCTGAAGCTCTGGACCTAATAGAATCCGCGGTCAGGGAAAAGGACTTTGTGTTGCAAAGAGAGGCGCAAGTTATAGAACAGAAGGCTAAGCTGGAAACTCGATTGGCTTCTATTACCGAGGAAAACGTCACTAAGATGCAGAGCGAGATCGTCAAATTGAAAGATGCTCACGAGCATAACGTGAAGAAATATCAACTGGAAATCAAAGAACTGAAGTCGGAATTGCGAGAAAAAGCAACGTTATTAGATCGGTCGCAGAGAGAGAGCAAATTGGCGGAGGAGGAACTCGAGAGGGTGCGTCGGAATTCCGAAGAACTACTAGCAAAATCGACCGCCAAATTGCTGAACTTTGAGCAAGCATTGAAACAAGCTGATTCCAGATTGGAAACATGTAACGAAACGACCGAGAAGCAACACAATTTAGAGATGCAACAGTTGCGAGAGAAGATCATTAATCTGGAAGATAAGCTGGCGGCTTCGAACGAGAAACTGAGGCAGATTCAGCAGCAAAGTTCTATGGATATGGGAGACCGCATCAGATCGAGCGATGAAAGGACAAAGAATGCGATTGATCGTTACGTTAGTCTGGAGAATCAGCTGATGAGATCCATGAACGATAAGGAATCGTTGGCGACGGAGTTGAAGTCACTACAATCTGCCTTCGATCACGAAATATACAAGCGAGACTACGAACGGCGCACGTTGGAAAAGAGAATCCGCGAACTGGAGGCAAATCTGCAGAAGGCGAATCGCGTGATGGAGAATAAATCAGATAATAATGCTCCTCCAATACAGGTTCCTTCGCAACATTGCTCGGATACAATAAATAAACATACTTTGGACATACGGTATATATGATATTCTTTGATATTTTAATAAGTAGATAAATAAATAAATAACATATATTGTATATGTGTTTACATTTTCTTCACAGGATAGAAAACATGGATCACAACTGGCAATCTTTGTTATCCGAGCAACTGAGTAAACAGCAGGAACATTTTGACAAAAAAATAAAAGAAATGACGCAACACGTGACGGTTCATCAGAAATTAAGCAAAAAGTAATAAAACTTACTTATATTTACTCATAACTGAATCATATAGTTTGACAAATTTGATTTTGTCTTAAGATGGAGAGAAGAAGCAAAGTCTTTGACGGCCCAATTTCAAGTAAAATCGAAGGAATTACGCGAGAAAATAAGTTTACTACGCAAAGAGAACGCCGAACTCCATAAAGCATTGCTAATTTGCAGACAGCAATTTACTGAATACAAGACAGATGCTATTCACAGGTACACACTATACAATATTCTTAAAGTTACAATTACGAAAATGACATATATATATATATATATATCTTTACATTTCTTTTGTCTTAGTTATATACAAGGACCTGAGATCAGGTGACAGCATCCTTTGTTAGGTACAACACGATCGCAATGGATTTTGTATATTGTAAATATGTTACACTGGTCAACTTTATTTACGAGAAAGATACAAATCGCAAGAAACAATGTGAATTCTCTCTTCAAAATATTTTCTATCAGCATGGCAGCGATACTGATACAGAATTTATTCTTTGGAAACAATACAAGCTGTGAATAAACTAGGAAACCAATATAATGTCTCACTCTCGTTCTGCTCATCCAACCAAGCCAGTCCCTCCTTCATCATATGATTCAAAGCTTTTTGCGCTCTATCCTCCTCCCATCTTAATTCTTTGCACAGGATAGACTTGGAGACATACGCATTCGCTGATAAACTAGCTTGATGCAGCACTGCTGTGTGATCCATACTGAGCTCACCAGGTACTGACTGAACCAAATATTTACCGCCACCGATAGGAACTACGGAGAAACCATTGCCGAAAATTCTCAGTTTCTTAGCTGCAGCTAACAGATCCTCATTGGTGATCTCTTGATGCTCCTTCCTACGTCCTCTGGCCTGAATCAGGCGTGTCCTCAACTCGTCCAGTGATATCAGACCGCCATTCTTGTAATTGGTTGCCATACAGACCTCCACGATTTGCACAGCGAGTTCGTAATAGAAATCACCGATACCTAATACCGACCAGAAACCTTTGCCGGACGCCAGAGGGTCTACACCAATCGAAGCGCACATCTCCGTGAACTGACGGCGGAAACGAGCGTTCTTTTTTATCTCATTCTTATGCTTGCTCGCAAACTCCTCTAGATTCACACGGAACGTCTCCATGTGCTTCGTCATCTGCTCGAACTGGTTCTCCTGGATCTCTGTACCCTTGTCCCGATATTTCTCTTGTTCCAACTTTTGCTTCTGTATCGCTCCCACGCCCGCCTTTCGTCTCATTTCGTTTCTCTTGTTTATTTATGAAATTAAACTGAAATTAAAATGAAATTAAATTTCTTGAAGCGCTATTGCTGATATGCAAACAAAGTTTGTTATTGCCTTTTGAATTAAATAACTCGGCTAACCTATCTCTTTTAAGAACTGAGGAGCTTGACATGTGTCAAAAGACCGTACACCAAGGTTATATGAAGAAGACGTCAAAATTATACAAGGTTTAAAAAAAGTTTTGACTTACGACAGACAATCCCGATCATTTGGCAAAATATTGACTTTAGTCACATTCAGTATACTTTCTGCATTTCGATTAGAAATGTGTTACGAGTAGAATCAGAGTTATCAAAATTTACACGAAAACTTGTGCGAGTAAGGCACGTTATTTCACTTTCTTCTTTGTCGTTACAATAATCTAATATAGATCTGCCTTATTTTACGTGCAAAAAGTGCAAAAAAGTACAGTCAAACGTATCTCACAACACAGTTTAAACACGGTAGCAACCGGCTATCAGCATTTACCTGTTCAGCATGAAGATAGGTATTCACCCACTGACAGCAGATCCAACGGCAGCCTGGTGCGAGTTATCTCAACATCAAAAAGTTGTTAAAATAAATACTAAATTGCCGACGACAGAAGCGCCGAGCGATAAAGTACGTTTGATATAACATTTTACTGCTCTGATTTCTGTACACAGAAAGATACATTTGCGTTAACCTCGAAACTACCTTTGTTTATATGTTTTCAATTTATCAATAATTATTACAAACGAATCGAACTTTTGCATATTACGGTCATTAATACTACCCAATGACATATCTGACGATAATTTTTAATTTTCAGTTGCGTGTAGTATGTATGAGCGACACGCACTCACTCACACCGTACATAAACTTTGACATACCTACCGGTGACGTTTTCATCCACGCCGGAGATTTCACGAAATGTGGTAGTCTGCAGGAAGTTATAGAATTTAATAATTGGATAGGTCAGTATAATTAAGAGATTTTATCATATTTTGTTGCATGTGTAATGTTTCTAAATTTTTAAATTTAAATTTTATTAATATATACTTGTAAAGGAAAAAATGTACATATAAGGAAAAAAACATATATATATATTGTATAATTTCAGGTAATTTACCACACAAACACAAGATAGTTATAGCTGGAAATCATGAGCTTAGTTTTGATCCAACGTTCACACATCCCTTTTCTGTGCATACCAGTGGAGATCATCAGAAACATACAGGAACTAGCATACTTGACAATATACCTACTCTGGGTATGTCAAAAGACACCCTTGCTGAAGCTATTAAAACCACTAATGTTAAAGATTATTTGACAAATTGTACATACTTGGAAGACTCTGAGATTACATTGCATGGAATCAAGATATATGGCACTCCATGGTAAATATTCTCTGTAGCATTAATTTGATTAAACAATACTTAGTAAAAAAATAGAACTTATGTTGCATCAAATAAAAAATTGTACGAATTAAAATTGAAAAAGGGACAAATCTTGCATTAGCTTTAAAATTGAAGATGTCTATAATATGTATTTAGGTATCATGTAGGTTTAAATAAACACAATCATGTAGGTTTAAACAAACACAATCAGAACCATGTGAATATTCTACATTGACCTTTTGCCGTACAATGACGAACGAGACTCATGGTACGATATACAGACCAAACATGAAAATTACAAGTCAAATTCGTGATATGAATTACGAGCCAACAAAAAACACAAATCAAGATGTCTCTTTGCGAATGGGGCTTTCCTTCACCAAGGTACTGCGCGATGCCAAACTAAATCGTACCGCAAGAGGTTAATGTTATAAAAGATTAATTCAATTAATTATGACAAATATGTAGAAATATTATGTGTTTTGTGTTGGGAATAAAATTACGGAAAAACATTTGTAGAAAATAATTTCAGGTATAATCAGGTATAACATTCTTATTTCTATGGCACATTTCGTTGAAACTTTAGGCAACCAGAGTTTTGTAAGTGGGCATTTAATGTGCCACGTGGAGAAGCTTGTCTCTCGAAATGGGAAATGATACCGTCAGACACAGATATTCTGGTAACACACACCCCTCCTGTAGGTCACGGAGATCTGTGTTGTAGCGGAGTACGTGCTGGATGCGTTGAACTATTGTCGACGGTACAAAATCGAGTGAAACCTAAATATCATGTGTTCGGACATATACACGAAGGTACGACACAAAATTTGAAATACACGAAAAATGTTCTATACAAGTAAATATTTTTATCCTATAGGATATGGTATATCTTCAGACGGCAAAATAATATATATCAATGCATCAACATGTGATTTAAATTATCTGCCAAGTAATCCACCGATAGTATTTGATATAATATTACCTCCTGGTATTCAAAAATCATAAACTCGTTTAAGGTAATATCCGATACTATTAAAGTATATTTCATTGCATAATGCTATATTACGAAAATATTTTAGATTTTTCTTAAGCTACAAGCTAAGAAAACTCTTTCTATGTGATCGACAAGTAATGTGTAGGAGTTTCTTGCCTTAATTTAAATCCTACATGTAAACTATATATAAAGCATATACATATAGCATAGATTTTGATTTATATTTTTCTTTTTCACACAATTTGTAATACCTTAATGATATTAAACAAGATCTGATGTAATATATATGAATTCTTCTTTGATAAGAGTCCTATATACAAATTATATAGTCATATTTATTCAGTTCTAATGATAAACGGTTTGACAATTTTCAGGACAAATATACCTTCCATGAATTTCTTGTAAATATTTCATAAATAATGAAAATTGGACATTCACAATAAATAATATAACGTATTCTAAATAATATTTATTGCGTTATGTTCCATTTTTAATTACAATGTAACAATTATTAATATTTCGAAACTTTTATTAAAGAACAAATAGCTTCGAATTAGTGGAGCAATTTATAAATTGTCGAAAAAAGTGCGATTGTTATTTTGGGATATCTAATATAGATATTTCCTTAATCATTATGAGTAATAAAAATCATATTTTCCTTTACATATATTTATTGTAATAAACAATTATGTAACAAATGGCACTTTTTCATTAAGAAAAATTCGCAACTGTATTATCATTGATATATACTTAGTCTCAATATAGTTTGAATATTTTTTCTCAATAATAAAATGTAGAACGCAGCAAACACTTCAAGCAGAAAGAAGTTGTTTTTAATTAATTTCTAGTTCTATTATCAACTATTAGCTCTATTCTAAATTGCATTAAGAAAAAATGTTCAAACGTTTTGAAATTAAGTATATTCGGCTAAATTCGTATGTTGGTCCAAAGTTATTTACCATATGAAAGTAAAATTACGTATGGGCTATTTATCAAGCGTCATGGAATATCTTCATTTTAATATTGTTTGCAATAAATTATTACAGTCAAGTTAAATACTGTCGGTGCCATTTTTTTCTACCATATAAACGATAATCACAACGCTCGATGGGTTCATTCTAACATTTTACTTGAGAAAATGTATTTATTATTACGATTTTTGGGCCAATATATGACAAAAAATATTCTTTATAGATATTGCAGATTCTTAATTTAATTAAAGACGGGATATGCCCATGTCACTAAATTATATTACAAATTTTACGTTCGCGTAACAGAATGATCTTCTTAAATCATGATTTATGAATATATACTTAGATTTCGAAATTATCAATAGTGTTATATAACAGATCAATACGTCTGTCATCTTTTTTTAAAAATGGATAATAGAAACAATGTAATATTTTTAGTTATATAGAGCTCAACTCTAATCACACCAAAACTTACATTAACCTTTTGCGGTCGGAGCCGCCCGACGAGCGAGCGTCGGTCTCAAATTTCTTTCAAAGGAAACTTGACTCTTTAGTCTACTATACCCATGCGTATGTTATCGTTCAGAAAGATAGACGTACGCGAGCCGCTTCATAATACGTCTCCGCAGCTGTAAACTCAATTGGGCGGCTATATACCGACACTCGACCGCAAAGGGTTAAAACGTATATTATGCATTCTTTTCTACCATTTGCAGAAAAATAAAGAATGCTTGTACTACTCAATTTCAAAAGAAAAGGGAAAAAAAAAAAAGAAAAATATATATTTTCTATTCGTTGAAAAATTCATCATAATTCCGATTATTTCCATATTGCTGCGAAAGTTCATGGAAAAATAAGAAATGTAAGTCTGAATTTGGAATAAAGATACATATAATGTACCTGTTTGAGCGCAGATACACGAAATAGTTTCCAACTATCAATAATAACAATAAACAAATGTAAAAAGAGTATATTCTTCTTACATAGTTTAAAATAGATTACGGAAGATTTTTTCTAATAGGGTACATTCGAAAACAGGTACGATACAGATTCACCGTTATGAGTCCGCCTCACAGCCTCAGCAAACATCATGGAGACATCAATACACTAAACAAAACATAGCTAGTTTATTCTATGTTGCGCTTAACGTTATTCACAATATTATCATCACCATCATTGTGACATCTGATCTGATTGCAGTAGAAAAGTCACGTAAATGTTAGAAACAATTACCTGAATCTTTGGACAATCTTTCATATGACCATCTTGAGGAATAGTATTAGTCACTACTACAGCCTCAAAACAGGCATTATTGATCCTACTGATTGCCGGGCCGCTGAATATACCATGCGTAAGTATGGCATAAACTTTTGTTGCACCAGCCTCCAGTAATTTTTCTGCTGCATGACAGATAGTACCGCAGGTATCGGCCATGTCGTCTACAAGGATGGCAACTCTGTCTTTAACGTCTCCGACTAGTACCATACTAGCGACTTCGTTCGCTTTCTTCCTTTCTTTATGTATGAGCGCGAACTCAACATTTAATCGATCAGCGATAGATGTGACTCTGTTAAAGAAGAAAAGAAATTATCAATATAATACTTTTAATGTAGATGATTTTTATCTTTTATTTTTACCTCTTAGCACCACCTGCGTCAGGAGAAACGATAATACTGTTCCGCCATTCAACGATATTCTCCTTAATCCATTTAAGGACAGCTGGCTCGGCGAATAAATTGTCCACTGGGATGTCGAAGAACCCTTGTATCTGACTAGCATGCAGATCCATCGTAATAATATGGTCAGCACCCGCCACGGAGAGCATATTTGCCACTAATTTTGCAGAAATCGGCGCACGACTCTATAAAATATATTACAACAGTTAAATATTAAGAATTCAGTCGAGTCCCGCAAGTCCATTTGCAACTGGAAATATCCTGCAATTTAAAGAAATTGCTATTAAAATATCTCAAAAACCAAATACATGCCAAATACATATGTTATGAAGAATTGAAAGAAAGTTACAAGCCAGTTTGTCTGTTATATTTTTAAAATAAAGTAAAAATTTCGAATGATATATATATTATCTTGACTGCCTGAGCTTTTCAGAAGTTTTATTAAATATTACAAATAAAATATCAAAAGAGATTTCATCTTTTTACCAGAGGGGACAAAATATATATATATAATGGCTGTATATAGTAAAGTGCATTATTTCAAAAAGTACACATATATATATATATATATATATATATATATTTGCAGAATCTATCTTGGAAAAGGAAAAAAAAACGACGTTGCAAATGCACCCCAGTTAGACTCTCAACGATAACTGTAAGTGAAGCAAAATATCTAAAATTATGAACGCAAAACGGAACACAATGCATCTCAGTCCTTCGCCCTCCTATAGCAAAGGATGATATAAGGTGAACAAGAGGGCAAACGTGTTGGTAATAAATACGCATAAGTACGCAACACAAATTTAAAGATAAATAAACAGATATATGTCAATGTCGTTCAAGTGCATTTCTAACATTGTATATATAGAATTTATGTAAAAGAATTTAGAGTTCTGCAAGTTTTTGAGGTATATCTATGTATTAGTACATTGTCTAACACAGAGAAATGCATTGTGCAAATGATGGAATATTTTAGTAAACCAGTACTTGTACTGAGTGTAAGGTTTATAGAAAGCTTAATTAATAATTGTTTAATAGGATCTCCCCACACGTATCGACAAGACATTATTACTAAGATAACACATCGACATTCCTATATTGTTTAAGCACTAACAGCATTAATAGGATAGGCAATATTTGATTAGTGCACTTGGACAATAACACCGAGCTTTAAGCTTTAAATGATTAGTACCCAATGAACATACATATGCGTACCCCACTATACTAATTGCCAACAATGTACTGCTATTATATTAATATTTTGCCCTCTCATTCGTATATCAATACGCTTTTTACCAAATGTCTCATTCATTCACTCATTCATAGGGATACCACTGTGTTGTATAGCAACGATATTATAAGTTTGGTTAGTCCTACAAAGAAAATTCTCATCTAAATTCCAAAATAATATTACGGATCGAATGGTTCATCGAGTTATCATTGCAAACGCTTCACTCGACAATCTCGTTGCTATTATACTCACTGTAGACAGGACGGGCAGAATATCCTGAAAATATCCAACTATTCAGAAACTTAGAAAAATACGTGTTTGCAAGTTCTTTCTAATAAACATTATGGCCAATAATATTTTTCGTACATATATTTTCACTTTTTATGATATAATCTAAAAATATATCTAATAGATGGAAGATCCGATAACTGTCTAACTGGAGTTGGTTTAGAGAGTTGTAGAATTTTTACTCTTATCTCATACATTATTATCATGCAGTAACCCAATTACCAATAATTTATAGCCGCTCACTTTTGTTGTAAATATAGAAACATATTATAATCATGCAAATATAAGTTTAAATAGTTTTGCAATGAAATATAACATACGAAATATACAAAATATTATATATATAACTATTTGATATATGAAATTAATTATATTAATTTATAATTAATTAATAAATGGAATATTAGGAATTAATTAACAATGTGATTATTACGACTCTATAAAAAAAAAATGTGCATAAGACCCCCCTCAAAGAAATCTAGCACAAGTTTTGCAACACCCATTTGGGTTATCCAACTTCTGATAACCTTACATTATTATTGAACAACATGCTTGAACATATCCATTTGTGCTCCGATGTCTAAAACATATGCTATTTATCTCATTACAAACATCTCACAATTGCGTCCATAGTGATAAACGGCTAAAAATTTAAGCTATATACGCAGTAATTTAACAATTATTTATATATTTCAGTCTGTGTTTAAAAGTAATATATATATATACATATGTATATATACATATGTATACGTGTGTATATATATATATATATATATATGTGTGTGTGTGTGTGTGTGTGGGTGTGTATACATACATACATACATACGTACATGTACATACACATACACACACATATATACATATACATACATACATACATACGTGATATTAAAAGCAATGTTATGACTATTTGCTTTAAAATGAACTTTTGATGTGACGTAAATCTGATTTAACACAGCTTCTAGAAGCTGTGAACTGATTCTGACATGCCTGATTCATATAATATTTAAATGGCTATATAAATGATATAGTTAAATTACAAACATGATTTTGAGATGATTTTGCAATATACAATACGAACTGTTATTGCATATTTCATGTATTATTCATGCACTGCTTGTAAATTTTATAGTTTAATGATAATATCTCTGCACATGTATATTCCTTTTTTTGGACTAAATTAGTTTCACCACTTGCTTCATGACGAAAACTTCAAAAAAAGAAGTATCCTTTATATACATGATATTTATATTAAAAATCTTAGTCACACACACACACATATATCATTTATATAAGAACTGTCCCATCTTAATATTTTCCTCAATATATTACTTGATGCTTTGCAATCGTAAACCAAGATAGACCAATCACAATAATATAAACATCTCAGATTACAACCTCCAACTTTTAAACAATTATCATATCAGACTTCCCATTTTTAATAATTTACGATAATATTAACTATAAGACCACTATAACACACAATATCCGCTTTTCTCATACATTAGTATTTTTGTTAATTAGAATTTTGCGTCAGAAATAAAACATACAGATATCCCGAGAAATACAAAGTAGAATGTCGCAATAATCAGCGAATGGTGAAATTCCTGTAAGACATACAAGTATACTGTATGGTTCAGCCCAATGACATAAAGCCGGAAGAGTACAAGCACAAGTTTTTTTCTTTCCCTTTTTTATGACGATGAGATCAAGTTTTGCGTTCCAAGAATGATATTACTTCATTGGTCGATTACAAAGCTATGAAAGATAAAGAATAGAGCAGATAAAAGGACCGCCGCAAGTTACCCTGAATTTCCACTCGTTCGACTTCATGACAATCTGATTTTTAGTGGAGTCTGACTTGTCCCCACCATCACCGCCCTGTGAAGATAGTACATAAAGAAAATATAGCTTCTTCTTCTTCTCTCAATCTCTCTTCCTCAATCAGTATCTCTTCCTTATCATGTTTGTAGTCTTTACTATCGAATCTTACAAGGGTAAGATAAATACTGAGAGAAGTAACTAGGAACATAACTTAAAATGATAAAAACCATTGTACACACACATTTACATACTTATATAATGTAATACAGATATAAATATATTAGAAAAGTGCTAACTAAATATTCTTAAGCAACTCAGTTCGCAATCTAGAAAGAAGATCTGCTGAGTTATCTACTTGTATAAGATTTCCAAAGCGTGCTTCTCTCTGTTACCATGTGATTATGACTATATGAATAGCTTGAGATCTTTCAGATTTATATCGCGTTAAATAACCGTATAAAACAAAAAGCAAAGAGCTAAGTGAATACATCAATCGCATGTTATTGTTAGACACACCTATATCCTGTTGAAAACATTAATAGTAACCTATTTGTACATTAAAAAAAAATTAATATTCAACTATTCAAATAAATACATAGAGATTATGTTAATCCATAGATTCATGAAATGTATATTAGCAATGATGAATGTTACAGCTATTATTACAACATTATTACAGCTATTATTACAACATATATATGCAATTCTATATAGAGTTTTATATACATATATGCATGTTGCAACAATTATATAAATCGTATTATATATATATATATATCTACGATTATTGCAATATATTAAGCATTTTTTGTACATATATTAACGATATTCTTTTATGTGCTATAAAATGAGATATTTTTTATACATATATGTATATATATGTATAAAATACACGCATACACATGTGCGCGCAATTTTGTAAATATATTAATAAGAATAATATAAAAGCGTAATGTGTTGAAATATGTTATTGTATCAATAACATTGAAATATGTAACAAATCAGATTCTATATTTCCATGCACAAATACTGTTACAAATGCAAACAATTGATATATATATATAGTAATGGATGTTTCTCAATCATTTTTTATTATATATGTCCAAACTTACAGTAGTAAATGACTCAATTTTTAATGACGCATCATGCGTTATTTCATCGAATTAAAAGTATATAGATTTATAATAATATAATTGGTAAAATATATTCAACAAAATACCAAAATTATTTGAATAAAAATTACAACTCAATAATATACTTTTCCCCCTTTTATAGATGTATATAATTTTAATAATTAGAGATTGTTTTATAAGAGTTTACACAAGGAAATATTTTAAAAAGTTAAATAGTGTTATTTAATCAAAATATTGCCTAAATATCATACCTTCATACTATTTTATACAAGAATTTAACTTAGCAAATCAGTGTATACTTATACTTAGTAGTATTATAATTAAAAATTATTTAGTCCTCATATTACATCTATTTAGTTAAACTACTCAGATCACAAGTCTATCTAAATAATCATAAGATTTTACTTTTATCTCTTACCTTATCTTTTTTATCCTGCCTTGCATAGGGAAAACAAGGAATAACTGCCGTTACTCGAGATGCTGAGGCAATTTTGCAAGCGTTGATCATGATCAGGAGTTCCATCAGATTATCATTCACTTCACCGCTTCCACTTTGCACGATGTATACATCCTCTCCACGGACAGATTCTCCTATTTCCACGCTGAATATAGATAAATTTTACTTCTTTTGTAAATGTTAGAAGAGGTGAAAATAATATCATGCATTAAGTTAGTATTTAAACATCTCAAGAGGACAAAATTGATTATAAGAATTTATATTATATTTTGAACAAATATAAAAAAAGATATGAATTAATATGTTATTATTATGCGTTTTGTATTCGACGAAAAACGTGTCAACAAAAGTATTCTCATTTTTATTATCCATACTTTGGTTCTGCACACAATGTGCTCTCGCAGCCTTCAGAACGGGCACGTGTCTATATATACACGAATTACGAAAAATTTAACATTGCCGATGCACGTGACTTCACATGCTGTATTCGTATTTGCAAATGTTGCAGCGCAGATTCGCGCTGCTAATACGCGACCGCCGAATCAAACAACGCGATTTACGGCAATCGTGATGATCGGCCTTGCGCGACAGGGTTGCTGCGACACGCTCGTGTGCTCGAAGGGGATGTTAGAACGGTCCGTTTGTGCAGACATTATGCGAGAAACATGTGAAACGCGACGATTTACAGTGCGAAGAGTACCGTCGAATAGAGATTACGTGATTCACGCGCGATGACACGTGGTCGCGGCTACGCTCTGGTTATCATAATGACAATAACGTAGTAACGGACCCGGTAATAGCCAACCATTACCATGTCTCGAGGTTGCTGAATTTCTTCGTGACAACCTTGCCGATGTCGATGCCAAGCCGGTCCACGATCCGTTGCGCCAAGTCCGGGTGCGAGGTGCCACTGAAGACCTTGATGTTCGGCATTCTGCTCTGCAGTGCTCTGCCGCGTGAATTTTCTAAGTTTGCGCGTAACAAACTCTTTGCACGCACTGGCTGCGATACGGGCATCACTGAAACAGAAACCACGGAGCGGTCGGCCAATCGGTGATCGCGCTCGATACCGGACGTGACGTCGCCGGATTACGCTCCGCCTACGCGCGCGGCTCGAGGAATCACAACCGCGCGAACGACGCTTCGTTATCGCGCCCGAGCTCTGCTTGCTTTTGTTTTCCGCGCTCACGAAGAAAGTAATAATCTCCGATTGTGACTGTAGCTTACGCGACCGCACGAATCACCAATTGCGACGTCGAATGTCGGACCGGACGCGCTCCACTCTCTGTCTTCTCGCCCCCTCCCTCTCTCTCTCTCTCTCTCTCTCTCTCTCTCTCTCTCTCTCTCTCTCCCCCTCCCTCACCAGTCGCTGTCGTTCTCTCTAGCTCTATTTCTCTCATGCTCGCTCACTCTTTCTTTCTTTCTATCTATCTATCTATCTATCTCTCTCCCTCTCTCTCTCTCTCTCACTCTCGTGATGGAAGACGCTCCTGCGTTGAAGATCAATAATAAGCGACGCGCGAGCGTCTTCGCGCGGTCGTCTTCTCGGCAGGTAGCTTCGCCGTGGCAACGCTACCAGTTTCTACTCATCCGACTTTTTGCTCGTCGCTTTCGGGCTCGGGCTCGGCTCGGCTCGTCGCGCGCCGCACCGGTGGCGCAAAGATGCCTCTCTGTCCACGACGACTTCTCGACGAGCGACCGTCCACCACGTGCTTCGGCTCGCCCCTCGTCCGTCGACCCTTATTGCGTCCGACTCGCGCGAAACAATACCGTCACCGCGATACGAACGATCTCGACTGGCACGATCAACACGTGCCGCTTTTATCCTGCCGCGTTAAATCGCATTAGCCGGTGGGGGACAGCGGGGTGTTCGGTGATTCGGGCGAGACACCACGAGTGCTGCGGCGAGGCGACCGTCGCGCGGCGCGACGTGAACCTAGACGAAATTCAAAAGGCGCGGGCGCGAGCGAGAGCCGGTGACAGTCAACTTTTGCTATCAAATGTGGCGCCGGCGGTGATCGAATGGTAAATTGCATGTGTACGTTACGAGAGCGCGAGTCTCTGGACACGGCCACGGCTGGTTAGGGACGACCGCACTGTACGGCAGCGCAGGGTGACGGGCGAAAATCACGTAGGGTGCATCGTCGCGTGTAAAAACGTTCACGGCGATTGACGCACGACGTGCCTACCGTTCATTCATCCGTGCGACAATGACAGCGTGCTGCTAACCATTCTGACGATTCCGGCGGAGCTATGGCGAACATCGCGGCGCAGCGAATCAAACGGGAATTCAAAGAGGTTATAAAGAGCGAGGAGGTGAGTGTGCGAGCGAGCGAATACAGCGTGTGCAGCCCGTGAAACGAAGGGGGGACACCGAGTCGTCGTTCCTCTCGGTAATGTGCAATTGGACGAAATCCGCGTGTCGCCTCGCAGCCGTGCGATCATCTCGCGAGCAACGTGAAACTCACGCGCGAGACATGACGTGCGAGATGCAATCCGCGCTCCTCGACCGCCGACGGGAGTATCTCCTGAACAAAGCTCGATCACCTGTTGTGTATCGTCTGGTCGACTGTCACCTATGCGCTCGGTCTTGTTCATTTATTTTGGTCAATGCGCAACATGAACGAAACGTTTGGAAAAATCTGTCGACTGTTCTCGTTTGATTTTGCCCTCGAGACGTGTTCGCTCGTGTTTTCCATTGTCAGAACTAATTTGTTCTTTTTATAATATATTATATTCGTTTTGTGTTGTATTTTCCCTCTCTTGCGTTGTTTTTTTTTTTTACTTTTGCGAGTATCGCGTATGTTCAGCAGGTGACATGCCACTATAGGTAGTGTACTAACGTGCCGGGCAGTAATTAGCGTTATTTTACATTATATGTTAACGATTTAATTAGACCGTGTAGATGTAGAAAAGTTAAATGTACTCACCGTGATGTCCGGGATCTTTGCTGCAGTGAGATCCACGAGCAGTCTTGCACTTTCTCAAATTGCTCATTGTGTGTATATTCACTTTAACGACTGGTACACTAAGATGCTTTCACATGTCTCTAGACGGCTGAATTACGCCAGAGCATCAAAAGTGACATACCATGGTAGTTTTGTAAATTATCGTGATGAAGCAATAAAGATTTTTGTTATCATTCTTTGGTGTCATAGGTTATGTTGATTATATATTTATCATTGCGAGCGAATGACGTTGTACCACACAAATTTTTCACGAGGAAGCATAATTTAGCAATGTGTTTGTCCGTCTCACAGACTCTTATCCATGATTGTGTAATCGATATATCATTTGACTGGAAAACAAGTATCACATGTATTGCAATTGACATAAAACATTATGTCCTGTTATTACAATCTGACACAAATCCCTATTCTATCTTCAGTTGTTTTTATGTCTCTGTCATATATATTCTTTTATTTATTTTTTGTATTATGATTTTGTTATATACCTTTTATTTGTAAATTTATATAAATTATGAATCTTTATGGAACTTTTATGAATTTTTATTAATTTTACAATATACTTTACAAACTATTTACAGTTCTGTTTATTTATATGTAAGTATATATATTTTGCAAAAAAATACATATCCAAGTTACATATACCGCAATAAATATAGTGGTTTGCTATTCTCTAATGTTTTATCTATTTAATACCAACAGGTAGCAAAATGTGCGATTAAAGTTGAATTGGTCAATGATAGTCTTACCGAATTAAAAGGTGAAATTGCTGGTCCACCAGACACACCATATGAGGGAGGTAATTTTGTACTCGAGATTAAAGTACCCGAGACATATCCTTTTAATCCTCCAAAAGTAAGTAATTTCTAAATCACTATTTTCTTTTAGATAACAGTATATTGTTTGAAAGTTAAATAGAGGGAGAAATAAGAAATAGTTTTATAGTAGCTTTGTTTTATATAAATATAACTTTTATTTTGCAGGTACGTTTTATAACAAAAATATGGCATCCTAATATATCCTCTGTTACTGGTGCCATTTGTTTGGATATTTTAAAAGATCAGTGGTATGTATTATCATATATGTATGTGTGTGTGTGTGTGTGTGTTTGAAAATAATTTAATTAATTTATTAATTAAAGTATTTGTGGTTTTCATCTTGCTTTCACATAATATAACTGCTACAACATAAATTGCTTTGTATTCATCCATTTTCATTACATAAATTACACTCATACATCACTTGAGAATGCTAACATATTTGTATTCTCTGTATATCTTTTGATTTATCATTGCGCATAACTTTGCGTATAGAAAATAAAAAAGGAATAAAGTAGACTGTCTCTTTCTAATTTCATCTTCATTTTCATATCTAAGGGCTGCTGCAATGACTTTACGTACAGTATTGCTGTCGCTACAAGCATTGTTATCTGCAGCAGAGCCAGATGATCCTCAAGATGCAGTAGTTGCTAAACAGTATAAAGAACATCCAGAAATGTTTCGTCAAACTGCCACACATTGGACATTTGTATATGCAGGTGGTATGTAATGTATTTTATATTTATATTCAGAATATATACATGTATTCATACTGTATTAAAATATATGATATACTTCATTCTAGGACCAGCAAAAATACCTGATTTAGATGACAAAATAAGACGATTAACAGATATGGGAATTGAAGAGCACAGTGCGAGAGTTGCTCTGTCTTCGTATAATTGGGATTTGGAACGCGCCACCGAGCACTGCCTCTTCAGTTAGTGATAACTGTATAGCTAATCTCTCACACATTCAAGCACCATTCATTTTGTCATGAAGAATTTTCTTGTAACATCATATTTGGATATTGATATCATAGTAATTTTACAATTGGAATTCAGCACTTATAACGACAATATCTCAATGATGAAAAGACACTACCACAAAAATTATTCAATATCCACTAATAGTCATTTATTTAATTTGTAACATAGGCATGAAGAAGAAATAGTTAATAAAAAAAAACAGCGAATATGAATCACTTAGCTAACTTTTGAGCATTTTGTGAGCAATTTATTGTTCTATATCGTTCTATTGAAATTTAACAGTTTTTTAAAGATAAAAAAATAAATCTTTTTAAAGTAAAAATGTGATATAAAATTTGTCATATATATTCTAAATTATTTATTTTCCTTGTTTCTATCATGTTAACATTAAAAACATACTCATTTTTGAAGTCTCGAATATTGTAGAATATCATTTCGTTGCTTTTACTTTTCACATTGTATTACACATTTTTTAATTGTACCAAGAATGTTGAATTTCTCTAGTAAAGTCTTCTACATAAATTCATGAGAGAGATTGCCACAAAATCGTGATATTCATTATATTTTATGTTCTATTTAGGTGTATTGATTGCGATCCTTGTAAATTGTAATCTGTGCTCTATATCAATTTAAACCTTGCTTATGAGCTGCATATCTACATGTGCATTTATGTGTTCTAATGTTTCATTTTTTCTCTTTTTCTTTTCTTTTTTTTTAGAACAAAATAGACATTTGGGTATACATTACAGTTTTATATATTGTTGAATGTCCTAAATAGAAAAGACAAAACTATTTGTAAAATTATAAAATATATGAAAAAACTTCGGATTCTCGTTTTGGTTTTCCACAATACTTAAATAGTTTCGTTGCTTTTAATAAGGAAATTATTTTTTTTTAGCAGATATTTCATAAATATAAAAACTACCAAATAATTTGGTAATTACTAATTTGTAACAAATCGACATAGAAGCGATACTATTTTACACATGTATATCAATAATTTTCCTATTATGCTATTTGCTCGATAGATTGGGGATAGAAAAATTTATAATTTGAATTAAGCCGACTGTGTATTACTGAAGTAACGTATGGCAAATTATTTGTAAAAAATTTATAAATTTGCTTCGATATTAGTATTTTATTTTTGTACATTTTTGGTGTTGGATCATACACTTGTAATGAAATTGTTTATCACACATCATGGATAAGTATATGTCTACAGGGAGATATTCTTTTTGTATTTATGTCATATACGGTGTACATTCCAAACTTAGACGCACATGGCATTTATTTAACAATTTCAGTTAAATTCTATGTTACGTGTAAAACTCAAATTATAATTGGACAAAGTTAACTACTAAATAAACTTTCAGCTTATTATTTCCAATCCTCACATTCGACGAAAACAAATAATTTAACTTACTGATTACAAAAAAGATCCTAGAGCAAGAGATAGCAAGTAAATGAAAGTGGAAATTTGAGTAGCTCATCATTTGTATAATAATGTATATGATGCAGAAATGCATAGTTTTTTGTATAATCAAATGTTAAATTGTTATACTATAAAAAGATAAAAATTTAATAATGATTTTGTCAGATTGTAGTTTTGATCTTTATAGTCTACGTGTTAGATTTATGTCAACAGTTGTCAGTCCATTGTGAAAACTGGTTTGTTTTACTTGTTCTTTTTTAAACGTTCAGTTCACAAAGTATGATCATATGGGTTTGTTTATTAATGAAATCCGATATTCCATGTTCTTTGATGTTTTTAATCGCTGTAATGTTTAATATCATGAAAAAATAAAATAATCTTTTTCCACATTGTTTCGAATTTATCAAAATCACAATGACAACGATGATATTCGTTCTCTAAAGCATCAAGAGTAATCCTACAGTAATGCAATATGTTCTATACGGATTACAATGATGTGAAATAGATACGTTTTATAAAATGTGCTGAATTCAATATATGAAGTGTTACTATTTACCGAAACATACACACACATACACACGCACGCACAAATGCAAAAAATAATACATTATAAAATAATGAAAGATTATTGTGCAGCAAGTAAGTTTTAAGTAAGTTTATTTTTTCCTTTAATAAAGATTTTTGAGTATATAAGAATATAAAAAAGGAGTATATATAGAAGAATAATAATTCATTTTGTCACAATACTACATTATTTTGTACATTTTTTTTTTTAATTTATGCGCATGTTATTTGCCCACAATTATACAGCCTAAGCTTTTTTGAAGAAAGACTTGCTAACAACAAATCATTATGAACTGTAAATGAACATAGATCCATAACAGGATCTGATACTGGAAGTATTTGTAACTGTTTGCCACTTGTTACGCTCCATATTGATATATTACTACTTGCTTCTTGATGTGCTGCTATTAATGTATCATTTTCCGTATATATATGGCATGGTCGAGACAAAAGCTTTTGAGAATTGCCAGCATTGAATGTATGTATAACACTACACATAATCACTTCTTCACTACCTCTTTCCATGGTACATACTGCGTGTCTTGCATATGGTTGTCTGGCATTAGGACGGGAAGATATAAGGGCGTGTTTGCTTTTCTCATCATAACACACCGAAATAAAAGGACCTTCTAAAAATACCTGTTTAGATAAATAATTAGAATTCTTAGATTCATACGCATAACATGTGTTCAACTGACACGCTATAAATCCGCCTCTACCGATACCACTGCCAGGATTCGGTTGTACTGTTGCCATAGATACAACTGGTGATCTATCACTCTGACCACTCAAGGTATCAACGGGACTAGAAATTTGTCTAATGTCGAACCGAGTAATGGATCCATTTTGAGCACCAACTAGTAAAAGGTTTGAGTTATCACCTGACCAACAGCAACTCCACAGTGGGCTTTCTGTTTGGAATGTGTGTAGTACCATGTTATTTTGAATGTCCATTAACTTTGCACATTTATCAAAGCCAACGCTTAGAAGAAGTGATGGTTGCATGGAATGAAACGTTATATCTCTTATAGCCTGACTATGTAAATAGATAAACTGCTTTGCTTGTAAGTTTGTAGGATCAATTCTTCTTACACCATATCCAGTGAATAAGATGTTTGTTGCTTTTTGAGAAACAACCAAAATGTTGTACCATGGATTATAATCTAATATACGACATTCACCATCTTTGGAGATATCTATAGAACGTTCCATATGAAACTTCTTAGCAGACAAGCTTGAAACGTTTTGGTTCATATGAGTATTGATTTCTATTTGTTGGTTTTCCAGTTCAATAATACGATTTTTCATGCTAGCCACTTTTTGTTCGTATATATTCACGCGTATTTTATATTGCGCTAATTCTGTTTGTATGTTATTCTTTTCGGCCGTCACATTATGTAAGTCATTTTTTATTTTTTCTAATTCACCAGTATCTTTTGATGAAATTTTTTTTGCGTATAAAAATCTAATATGCCTTTCTACAGCTTTCTTATTGCATTGCGGACAACGTCGATTTGCGCTTACACAACATTGTAACCATTTCAAAATACAACTGTGTCCAAACAAATGTCCACATCGTAAGCAACATAAACGGTGATCTCCTGAGCTAGTCCACTGCTCCATACAAATTGGACATGCCTGATCAGAGTCTTCAATATTTGATTCGTTTAACTTCACATTCTTCTTATCTACTATAAATTTAATTTTATTTAATTATAATATATATATATATATATATACATAAACCTAAAAAATATTTTTAAAAAATTAATACACAAAAATACCTTCTTGTGAACTTCCAGCATATATGTGTTTTTCAACATTATTTTGAGCATTGTCATCATTAGAAAGATTTTCATGAGCATCTTCTGCTTCCTCTGCTTCTTCAGCTTCTTCTACTTCTTCTGCTGTTTCTGCAACTTGTTCTTCTACTTGCATTGCAACTTCATCTATCATAATAAAGCAAAATTATTATAAAACATGAGATTGTAATTCAAGACAAATAGACTATAAAAAGTATCATTATTTTCATGGGAAACTAGAGATTAGCATGTTCATTTATAGATCCTTTGATTAATATAAATTTGGTTTGTCCTTAGTGTAAATATCAATGAAAATTATAATTTGGCTGTAAGTTTTTAACTTTTAATATTGAATATTTTTATCGTTAATTTTTAAATTATAAATATGTTGAAACAAATTCTATTTGAAATAGAACTGAATATAAAATTTGACTTGTTCACATACAGTTTTCAAGTTTGGTTTTTGAAAAAACTTTCAGTTGCTTCAAAAATAGTGAAAGTTTCTAAAAGAGACTAAAAGCTTCTAAAAGAAATTTTACGACATTTGAAAGACATCTGAACAAGAAAAATATATTTTAGACATCTTTAAGATAACTTTAAGAAGCATTTCAGAAATTTTTGCTACCTGGGTTATCATATATATAACCAAAATGTATATCAGGTATCTTGACATTTCTGTTAAGGAAATATTTTGAAAGGAAAATACTTAAATCGAGTTAAAGAATTCAACGGAAAAGAGAAAAGTTCTTAGCCTTTAGAAATATATTCGATCTATTTTTCTATTCAGAGGTTATCTATAAGGTACTTACTGCCTTCCATAACCTTTATTTCATATATCTCATATATCAGATAGTATTAGGTGATCTTTTAAATATGGTAAGATATTATGCGTTCCGTTTGTCCTCATAAACTATCTCACATGTATCGTTATAACAAATGTATTACATATTATTGAAAGTTTATAAAGAGATTCACACGTGTTTATATAGCCCTGGTATTTTTTCTATTGTACCTACTGGTCACTACTATATTCACTCGGTCGATATAATCATATATAGAGGAAGAAGACAAATGAAAAAAAAATTTAGTTAAATTTAGCTGTTCAGCTAAATTAAAAAAATATAAATTGTTTCGTTTCCCGAATGTAATAACATACTGCTAAACCCATATAAGTTATTTTTTACGGTTGTTCCTTTTTTTTTATTTTTTTGGCTTTCATAAAAGAAAGGAGAAATTGTTGATTAGTATTTATAATTTATATGTAAATTATAAATAATATATATTGCGATGATATATTCAGATACATCTTGTAGAAAAATAAAAATAATTGAACGTTGTGTATGCAACGAAAAGAATTCTGAAGAATTTTGAAGTGAGTAAGATATATAATATTGACATATTATTATGTATATGATATCATTTTAATCTTCTCTTTATTTCTGATATATTACATTTTACAGCTTTCTCACGGTAAACTAATATGCAAAAATACTTTCGAAATAAATTTAAATCGCCGGGCACATTATTTGACGATACACCGTAACTCCATCACGAGAGACAACGAAGAATTTGTAGGTTACTCGTATTGTACATGTAGATACTTCGCGAAATCTAGCAAAAGAACAGTATTGATTCGAAGGTAAAAATATGAAGGTAAAATTTGCACTTAACATTACTAAATAGAATATTTACGTGTTCCATTTTTTCATAGAAATTTCCGTTGCAGTCATTTTTCAAAAGTCATAAGTACAGGAAATCTACTTTATTTTACTGGAACATAAATATTACGTTATGATATGTATAATACTAGTAGTCTTATTAATAGAGGAATGTCGTAAAGTATAAAAAATAAATGGATAAAAAAGTACTTCAAGATTTGGTCCTATTGTAGAAACGGCGACCGTGTGTAAGAAATTATTCCCTTTTACAAAGGCATTCCCATACGCATGAACGTTTACCAATCAAGATAAAAAGTATTCACGATTCAAAAGGAGGTTCGAGACGAAAGTGTCCTAAGCTTCAACAAAACAATGGACAATTCGGCAGTGTCTCACGCTTGAAGAAAGACTCATTTGACTCACTAGAATCTCTCTTTGACATAAAGAAACCTTTAAATTTGCTGGATGTGTATCAACTAGCATTCGATTATTGTTTAGATCAATCAGTTAAAGGGAAATCATTCATTACACTTGATGCACTTGATAATGTTAAATCGGAATCACTTGATGCACCCGATAACGTAAAATCAGAACCACTTGTGGAAACGCTATTTCTACAACCTCTCTTACCACGGGCGAATTTCGAGACGCATATCACTGAGTCGATAGTATGTTATTATATAATAAATCATTACTAAGACACTACTTAGGATCTATTGGATACTAATGTAATTAGTAGTTCACATAAAGGCGACATATTTTTCATGTTTCTCATCATCTTGTGTAAATTTCACAGTACTTTCAAGAGGATATTAAAGATGAATTAAAACCAAACGAAGAATTATACATTGAAGCATCAGACTCTGTGAAGGGATTACAACAGAACAACTTGATTTATAACAAAGAAAATTACACAGAGTAATAATCTATTCTAGTCACTTCTGCGCTTATTAATTTTTGATGTAAACAGATAATATATTTGTAGAAATATGACTGAAAATGAGGGTGACGTGCCAGAAAAACAGGAGGAGGAGGAGGAGGAGGAGGAAAAGGTGACAAAAGCGGAAGAAGAAGAAGAACCAATAATTGAGGATGTTACTGAGACGACCGAAAACCTTCCAGAGGATAAAATTATGGACGAAAAAAAAGACGAGGGAGAAGAGGAACGCGAAGGTAGAGATGTTATCATAGAAAAAGTCATCACTGACGAAGATGAAGATAAGATCGAAGAAAAGAAATTCCCAATTTCTTTCTTCCCACCTGATATCGCAGAAGGTAGGCATTCGTGATATTTTAGGATTCTGTGGTATGTGTATGAATATCAGAATTGGCGTCTCATCCCTCGGGGGCTTGTTTAACATCATCGAAAATATTAGATGACATACACGTCTATGGAAAAACATTGTCGATAAAATAATTATTGACGGCTCTAATGAATTCTTTAACTGATGTGGGCTTGATTGTAGAGTTGAAAGTATTGAATGAGAAATGTATTACACTAAACATTGAAATTCAACAAATACGTGACGAAATTGAAGATTTATCAGAGGTAATGTTCCATCGTTCTTCATATATATTTCAGTATTATTATTAATGTATAATTTCTAATTATGTTTTTTTATATAACATATATAAATATAGAAACATGACTTAACAGAAGAGGAAACACAGTTAATTAAAATGAAACAAGAGGCTCTCCTATTGAAATTAGGCGAACTCGAGCGGCTGACGGAGCAATCTCGATTAACGGTAGCTTTAATAAACACATTCTCGGTACAAAATATAGATTACAAATTATTTAACACATAATTGCGTATTTGCGTTAAGTCGACGTATGTAACTAAGCGATAATGTTCGTTAATGAAATAAGAAATAGCAAAATTATGAAGAAAAAAACACGATAAGTATATTACAGATGTTAAAAAATCTAGAGATACCTTATGATGATTCGTTAGAACCCGATAAAATACGTGTTATGGAGGAAATTGAAAAAATACCTGAAGAAGAGGAAAGAGATGTAGAAACGCTCAAGATTCAAGAGAAAGATCGCTTTGAACTGCCACGAATAAAGTATCCTGAAGATAAGTAAGTCATATTTCAACCATAAAAATTCTGTCAATATATTTTAACACGCATTCTATATCGTAATCATCGCCGAGTCATCATATGTTGTCTTTTTTAATAATGAAAAAATTTTATCTTGCGTTGCAACACATGTTATCAGCGTGTACACAACATCGATGATTCACGCACGAAATACAACATATCTTGGCTATATGCTTTTATCGTGAAATCAGGCTGCCGAGAGTAATCGTTTGCGGCCCCTCGGAAGATAAGTTTCCAAAAATTGTAATAGCGGACAGCGAACGGAAAGGAAGAGGAAAATGTTTCGAACGTTTAACCGGCCAGTTGACAGAGTCATTAACGATGCAAGAGAAACTTGTTAAAGAAAATGCTCAGCTGGAAGGTGGAAAGTACGCTCGTTTCTCGCACGCTGTAAAATTTAAAAAATATATTAGAAAATGAACAGGCTTAATTGAAAATCTGCATCAATACGAAAGAAAATCTCTCAATTTAAAATAGTTATCTATCTTTAATTGGGAAAGCAAAATACCTGTTTTGTTGGACCTTTTTCGGCGCACTCGGTATAAAAGAATCTCCTGACTCGATAGTTATTTATATAGCGAATAGTAGAAGGGCGAATAAATACTTGAAAGTTATATGGTTTCCTCGGCGACGATATCACGATGTTTTTAGCCGAAGCGTGTTAGTCGTACGTTAATTATGTACGATTCGGTCTCGTGACGTGTCAGCGATTTAAATATACGCGTTATCAATTACTTTGCTTCTGAGAAAAGATTTTATAACACGGTTCGGTCGACACCCGTTTGGTATATCTCGTTTGATCGGATTTTAGGGTAAAACGGACGAGTGATTGGCGTTATAAGCTAAGTCGTACTATTCTGCAAACAGGTACAAACTAGAAGAAGCTTTACTGGAAAAGGACGCAGCCATCGATGGTTTAGAAAGGAAAGTATGTGGCCTGCAAGCGGAAATGCGTATGATCGTCAAAGAGAATAAGGAATTAAACAGTCGATTGGCCACTTTGAGTCAGCTAATGACCACTCCTACTTGCGGTTATAGCATCAGTCCAGGTGTTAACCAAACATCCCAATTAACATCACCATCAATACCAACGCATTCATATGCCAGCGCGCTGCCTCGCGACGACACGTCCTGTCAATGCAAATGCTGTTCCCGTCAGCCACAGTTCGCTGACACTTTGTCATCGACTGCAGGAACCGCATGCTGTACGAAACTGTCTAATTTTACTCAATCTGACGAGATATGTCGACAAATATGTCGTAAAATATGCTATGAAAAATAGCACGATAGAACTTGGAACGTCTTATACTTACTGAGAGATACGATACGCCGTTCGTGCGCCGAATTTTCACATTGACGAAGTAACGTGTCCATTCGCAGTTTCGCCAAGACTTACTGGGGGTGGATCGGTAACAGAGGCGCCTTATCTCGAAGATAATTCCGCCAAGAACATTCCGCCAAACACCGAGATGTGCACGCGAGGTGTTATCCCTGGTGTGAAAACATCGCTTCCTCAAGGAACATGTCCCGCAGAATTGGAGGATCAACTCATGACTTACGACACCAGTGCCAAACAGCTAGTGAGTCTTGAGAACTGCAAATCGTTTTGATATACCTCTATATTCTACAAGGCAGTAAGAAGCGATCGGACGAGTCGTGCACGACAGTATACGACGCTATCTTGTTTCATCTCTTCAGAAACAACAATTAGGCAGTATGGAGTGTGAGATACGCAACATGCAGGTGGAATTAGCGAACGTGCAACGGGAGCGGCAGCAATTGGAGCAACAACGTAAATTACTCAAATGCACAGGACCTTGCGCACCGTGTATCTGTCCTCCTCCGGTTTCGACGTGCGTGACACCCTCGGCGTTGAGATCTATTTCGCCGAAAGGGCCCGAAAGGGCTGCACCGACGGTATCTCCCACCAAAGTACAAGATTTCTCACCTTTTTCTTGTTTTTTTTTTCGAGCGGAAGATTTAAGGCTGACTAATATCTTCTTTACAACATATTTCTTTTTACAATATTTTTGAACAGGTGCAGATGACTGCGCCGCAAGCTATACCTCCGAAATGCACTGGTTCTTGCACAAGTGCACCTATGGTAACTTAAAGAAAATTGCACGATTGTAACTTAAAGAAAATTCAGAACGCGTTAGGTAATCATATCTGTATGTCCTGTGACCAAAGGGCACCAGCACTCAGCAGCAATTCCGCGATCTTCGCGAACAATACGCTCGACTGCAGGAAGATTATAAAAACAAGTTGTGCGAGGTATCGTGCATGAGAATTGACGCGGAGAAAATGAAGCAGGATCTGCGCGATGCGAAGGAGGAGAAAGAACGAATAGAGATCAAGATGATAGACGCTCAAGAACGACTGAAACTCATAGAGGAGGAAAGGGGAAACTTCGAGGGTAGATTTCTGCAAAGGACCGATCAAAAAGTGGCGCATGTCGCCTTTCGACTTAACATGTTGATGTAAATTATTTTGCGAACACAGGCCATAAGGAGCAACTCGTCGAGCAGGAACAGGCTTTAATGGTGGCGAAACAGCGAATGAGAGAAACGCAAGATGAACTAGAGGAACTTCGTTCTACCACTCAGGATCTATCGGCTCAATTGGAGGATTATCGCAATAAATATCTGCAGGTCGGTCGCTGTCTTTTGTGGCTTTTATTGGGACTAAATTGCGCTTGATTCATTTATTTATCTGTGTATGTAGACAATTATAAAATTGAGAAATTTATACAATTCAGGCCCAGCAACAAGTTGAAGAGCAACGAAGGCAGATGGATCTTATGGAAATGGATAACGCGCGGATGAACGAGAACGTCACTTTGGAAATCGGTCGTGTTAAAGTACACAGAATATTATTTATTATTTTCGTCGAGTTATTAAAGTTCTAATATTCTTAGGGGATCGATACATATATAAATTCTTGCACAATCACATTCGTACTACACACGTATATATAACGTTGACACAACACTCAGAATCAATTCCAAGAAAAATTAGCCGAGCTTGCGCCATTGCCCGACATCCTGAAACAGTCGCAAACAAAGTTGCAAGAGACACAGCAAATGCGCCTGATCGCCGAACGCAATTGCGAGGATCTGTCGCGGGAATTGCAGGGATACAAGGACAAACTTCAGATTCAACAAAATGAAATGGAAGTGTTGCACGCTCAGTATCAGACACTTTTGGTTGTAACTCACTACTTTGGCGGATACTTGGTTAGTTCGGTGGAATATTATTATGACGAGTCGTTTCACACATAGGGCGAAAGGGGACAAGGGACCGGTCGATTCGAAGAGATAGAGAAGAAGTGCGGTGAACTGCGAAACGAAAATGAAAGAATGAAGAACACGCTGACACGACTGGAAGAGCAAAAGGCGCAACTTCAAAAGCGCATGGACGAGAAGATGCACGAAAATACGCAACTGTTGTCGCAGCTGGAACAAGTCGGTTTCGGTCACGGGTAAAAGGGATTTCTTCGCGAGAATATACTCTGACACATCTTGCTTTTCTTCCAAGGTAAGAGAGGAGTCTGCGCGACAAGTAGCGAGAACGAAAGACCGATGCGAAAATTTGCGATGGTCGATGCAACGTCAGATCGCTGAAATGGAGAGAGAATTGGCACAATGTAGAGCAACAGCGCGGGCTGCACAGCGAGATAGAGACGAAGTAACTTTTAAAGAGTTTGAAATAAATTAATTTGCCTGTTCTTAATAGAAAGGGGACGTATCAACTGTGTATGTTTTCCGTTAACGTCTAACGCAGATCAGACAAAAGATGCAGAGTCAAATAAATAACTTGAACGAGGCCTTCGAACAAGCACAAGGGCGCATAAGATCTCTGCAAGGCCATGTGAACTATCTCAAGACCTCTTACAGTAACATTCTTATTGGCCAAGGAGAGACACCGACTAGTGTCCCAACGGGAGATGCTCCAGGCTTGGGATATGATTCTTGCGACTGCAATTATTAAACGGTTCATGTGATTTTCAACATAATATTATATTTTAATTCAACATAACGAATTTTACGATAATAAATTGCCACGTATTACCGCATATATTCTGGTTGCGCACATTTTTATTTCATACGATACTGACTACTGACACAATTTGACAAAGTCATTTTGTAAAAATAACTTACATACTCTGTCGTTTCTTTTATAAACATATATAAACTATAAATGATATTTTTTAAATCAGAAAAGGAACTTATAAAGCCAATATATAGCCGTTATTTATTAATTTTAATACATTAACACGTTCACACGCTATCAGCGTTACACATATGCGTGACTGATCACAGTCTATGTCACATATATGACAGCGATCATTTTCTTACATCCGCAATCATTTTTCACGACTATTTTTTTTTTATATAAACAAATTGTCTGTTTTATACAATTGCATAAGAAGAAATACAGGATGAATTGTGAAACGGATTTCCCAAATGAATCGTGATTACGAACGTGCTAATCTCAACCAAAAACCGGCATATACGACTATTGGATATGCGTATATCTGTTGCAAACATTTGCGTTTTATTAGATGTATATTTTATTTAATAAATCGACTATATGTATGTTTCTTATATGCAAATAAGTTTGAGAATCTGATATATGATAGTAACGTAAGAGTCGACCAAAAAAGAAATTAAAACAAGAATATGATATATGTACATATGCGATATAGATATAGTTAACATCCAGATGAATTCCGTTAATTCGTGTCCACCGTGTGAAGCATATTGAGCATATTAAGAATAGCATCCGAACGCGATCGCACTTTCTCCATTTCCACTCGGAATTCTTCCAGTTGAGATTCAATTCGCTGTGCGTAAGCATGACAACATCTGCGAGAGAAAATTAAACAATCTTGATTTTGAACCTGGCATAACTTCAAATATGATTATTAATTTTTATAAAAGTGTGAAAATTCTCGATGATATGTTACCACTGTACTATATTGACACTTGTAACAGTGTGTGCATATATTTAGTCAATTTTCGGACACTGTGTGCAAATTGAAAAGAATACTCGAAAAACGTTTAAAAACACACCTTCCAGCAGACTGTCCTTGATTCGAACATGAAGGTTCTGCAGATGCACACGGCGAAATTTTGATTTGGGGAGAACAATTCGTTGAATAAGGTCCCTCCTTCTTATGCGAGCAGCTTTTGCTAGTACTAGGTGCATTAGGATTATAACAATCTCCGCATCCTCGTAAAAAGTCCATTAAAATATTTCGCACTCTTTTACCGTTTAACTTACGTCGTCGTGTCTGAGGGAAACAAACAAAATTAATAATTACAATTATAAGCATGAATTCTTATAAAAAATATTAGTCAATTTTCTTGCGACGCTCACCTCTGGAGTCTCATTGAATTGTTTATGCATTATTAATGGTTCTTCCTCATTTATGTTGGAAGAATGATAATTACACGATTCATTACATTCTTGATCTGTATTCATTTTTAATTGCTCGCATGAGGAAGTTTCCATCGATGTATTACAACGTTTATGATCCTCTAAACAATGCTCCCTCGGTTCATGTAGCGAGTGATGACATGGCGTATGGTAGCCGCATGTAAGCTCATTGTCCTCTGTGACGGTGGGGTTAACATTTTCATTTAAATGTTTGTTAGGCGTTGGAACGTTTGAAAAACTTTGCCGATGTTCCTTATTAACGCCACATTTATCTTTGCTACAGTTACAACTATCCTCGAACTTTTGTTTTTCCTTGTGTATAAGACAATTACATTTTTGCTCTAGGTTTTGTAGGTGAGTACAGCAGGAATGTGATTTTTCTTCGGGATGTATTCGTTTATACTTCAGCCATTCTTTACGATGTTTCGAGGAATCACAGTCTTCAGAAATGGAAACGCATACATTTGGACTACATGCACTATCCGTATGTGCTTTACTCATTGAACAGTGTGGTTTAGGCGTATGATTAAATGACATTGAATGCGGACACGAAATATTAGATGTAGCTGAACTCAAGTCCAATTTAGCTGGTATTTTTGATTTTTTACTTGACGAACACACTATATTGCTGCCGTTGAATCGTGTCTTTTGCCAGCAGTAACACTTTTTATCATTTTTTACTTTAGTAAATGTTTCTATGTCGTTGTCATTCTCATTTACGGATTCGTCATTGACCTAAAATATATAATTTAAATTAAATGTTATAATTCTAAGAAGATATCTTATATTGCAAGTATTACAATACATTTATAAAAAGAACTTACTTCTTTACCCCAAATATTGATAGTCCCATTTATTTCAGACATTCTTACTTCTACATTACCGAGTAAGAATGGACCGCATTCTCGCGTGCGTGCTTTATCATTAACAATCTTGTCTTTTGCGGGCAGCTCCGCTTGGATCAGAAAGCTACGTTCAGCACTGTTTTCATTCTCATGATATACAAAGCACTTTACATTGTCTTCTGGATCATCAGTATTTTCGGTTTTATTTTCTAGAGATGTTGCAGTTCCTAATTGACTTGTGTTAATATTACATGAATTCTCTTGTGACTCTGATCTCTCATTTACCAAATCATATGCATACTTAAATTGATGCTCGGAATTAGGAGTTTCATTTAACTGTAATTCTGCATCTTGGGAAACTTTAAGATTTTGTAAAAAGTTTGGTGGTCCTAAAACATCTGCAATTTTCCTCTTTTTGGGACTAGAAGGTCGACTTTGACAGCTACCATCATTATTTTGCAAATCCATTACTGTACTTTCATTTAGTCTTTTTTTCGTATTTTGTACCAAAGGACTTTCTAGTTTTGCTTTCCCTTGTGTAATATTTGAAAGAGTTTGTAAAATTCGAGATGAAGTTATAAATGCATGAGATAACGTACGTGTATTTTTTCTTGGCGTACCATCAGTCAGTATTATACTATCGTCAGAATGTAACGTTTTAATTGCCTCTGGTGGTTTCATTGATACTGATAAATTACATGCACTATCAGTCCACTGCTCAATAGAGCTTAATGTTGAAACGCTACTACCTGATACTTTATTGTTATGCTGCTTTATATTTATAGACTGTGCTTGATCACGATCTTCATTAGTCGCTTTGGCTAACAAAGTTCTATCTTCCATCTCAATCATCAAATCCGTTTGGATGCAAGCAACTTTCTGTGCCGGAGATTTATTTCCCTTTTCATATTTTGCTAGAGATTTCCTTAACTCTTCCAGCTCCTGTTTCATTTTTAGATTCTCTGCAAGCTGTTTTTGATATGTGTCACGTAAGGTGTTGTATTGCATAGTTTTCTGATTTAACTGATCTTTCAATGCGTTGACTTCTGAAGGATCCGAAGTTGTTTTACTAAATGCTTCCTTTGCTTTATCAAAAGTTACTTTCTCATCATTACTTTTTCCTTCATTTTCCATTATATTAATGTGCTTAATATCCTCGATTCTTATGGGATACATTGTATCATTGTCATCTACCTTCGATACATCCATTGGTTCTGCATCATTGTATGTTACAGATACAGTAAGCTCTTGTTCAATGACTGCTGCATTTTGGTTTAAATCGGTTTTCTGACTAGATTTCGAAGAACCACGCATATATTCTTCATAACTTAAAGTACGTAAATTGGAAAATACTGGTGATATTCCTTGATGACCATTTTGAATAAAAGATGGTTGTATGGTAACACCGAATTGCCGTGTTTCTCCTTCAGTAAAATCAACTTCGGTTATCCCATTTTGTTTCTTATCGTCAGAGCTTACATTATCTTTTTTATCTTGCGTTAATTCAAAAGGTGCACTTATTTGGATTTCAACCTGTGCACCTATATCTTCTTCTTGTACCGATTTTAAGTTGTTCTTTTTATTATCTTGACCGTTTAATATTATTGGCGCAATGTTGCAAGTTATTTTACCCTTCTCGCAAGCTTCCGCAATTTCTAACTCCTTGATTGTTTTTTCAGCATAACTTTTTATTGTTCTATTGGTTACTGTAGGCTTTGTCTCTTCCATATCATTGTTTTTATCATCATCCGCATCATTGCTTTTATGATCAGTATTATTTTTATCATGAATTGCATCTTCACGCTCTTTTGTGTGCTTTTCCACAGAGCGTCTATTTTGTTCTTTTATATCTTGTATATAAAGCTTGACTTTGCTTTGCACATGGTGATATTTTTCTGGCACTAGTTGCTTTCTACGTGATTGTGAAATATGAGACATCACTATGTTTTCTGGAATGTTCAAATAATTACCTTTCATCAGAGCTATTTGTTTCCTCTTTATAACATCATTATACATATTATTCCTGTAGATGTTTAAATCTTGAAGAGAAGAACTTTTTTCTTTGTCACGTCTTCTTAATCTCTTGTTCAAAACTACATCAGCAGATACTCTGTCATAATATTCGTCATCTATTTCCTCATCATTATGCATTCGTCTAGGATTTTCATCATCATCATCATCATCATCATCATCATCGTCGTCGTCATCTTCCTCATCCAATATATTATGCTTTATATTAATTGGATGATTTGGATCCGAATCATTGTCAAGCTCCAAGTTTTCCATATCTAGAGTACGAAAGAAACAATTATTTTATTAACATGTACATTTAAAATATATATTTATACATATTGATATAAATGATATAAATATTTTTTAGTTTTCTACTTGACAATATGTACGAGAAAAAACTGTTTTAATTTAGTCATCATCATATATATGCGTCCTTTCGTCAACTTACCATCACTATCCCCATATTCATCTTCGTCATCCTCATCATTGTAGGGATGCTGATCAGTTTCCTCTCCAGATGATAATACGTATATGCTGCTCGCCTCTTGATCATCGCTGTGATCAGGGCTCGGGCTACGTTCCTCCTCCATGGGCATATTTTCCGGCTGTTTCGCGTTCGCAACTTCCGACGAGTCGTCGCGTCTGGAAACACTGGACACGCTAATGTACGTCGGCATTTCCTCATCCTCCAGCAGCGCCGTGTCTGTTTGATCCATCATTAATTTCGTTTCGCTCTTGGACGAATCGTTGGGCACATCCTCCGTCGCCTTTGTTTCCGCCTCGGTGTCGTCAGGCGAATGCTCGCTGTTCTCCGACATCGTGGAAAGCTACGAGCGGGGCGAGAAAACGTCCGACTATTATCGGGAGCGTCGGGGGGGGGGGGGGAGACAAACGTCGAGTGTTGCTAAAGCACTGTGACAATCTCTATTCCAGGTAGTATATCCCGAGCGTTCGCCGGTCCAGCGAATGTACGTGCAGCGTGTTGAAAAACACTTTCTCATCAGCCGCCATTACGGTGGTGTGGTGTCCGCAGCGAGGCCTTTCGTACGACATTACCGTGCGCGAGCCAGCATTTCGTCTTTCACTTTACACCGTCTCGTAAGCAATGTTCGTTCTTTCTCGATAACGCGAATCAATATCCAAACGACCGACCGCGCGTCCGTCCCTCCGAGCTCTTTCAACACCAATCGTTCCAATCGTCGAGAGATTAATGACCTGCGCTTCGCAGCAGGAGCGTACGCACAACGCAGAGCTGCCGAGCGCGGCAGCTTTGTCTTTATCGTTCGTGAGATTATCCAGGTCGGTTTATATATCGGTAATCGGATATATTAGATCATGCGAAGCGTTATTTTCATAATATCGCGACTCAATATGTGAGATATTTTATCTCTCACTGCGCCGTGCGCAGTGCAAATACATCGTCGCGAACGCCAAGGTTACCGTTACTTGCGCGCATGTGCTTTCGCGGTGCAGTCACAGAAAACCGCATACACATACGCCGGCTGGCTCTTTGGTTTTGTTTTATTTGCAACAATCGATCCCGTATTAGCATGTACAATCGAAAATTCGTATTGCGCGTTTTCTCTCTCTCTCTCTCTCTCTTTCTCTCTCTTTTCTTTCACGTTGCCGATCAGCAAATGCGCGTTATCGCCTGTTTGAACGAAATCGTACAGCGCATGAGGCATTTGCACGTGTGAGCGAATTAATTAATCACATTTGAGGTATTTGATCAATTCATTTCTCTGTACGTTATTTTCCAGGATTATTGACGCGTCATGATTGATTGCGTCGAAATCGATGACCCAGCAGGCGGCAACAATTTTTTTCACAAGATCGACCGTCGCTGTTTGCTTTCTAGTGGTCATCGACTTTCAGCACGTTGGAAGAGAGGACTAAATAAACATAACCTAAACCTAAACGGAGGAGAACACCTTGCGAGAACTTCGGGTTACTAGCGGCGGCACAACTAGCGCTGTTCTTTCGAGAACGCGCAACACCATTATTGTTGGCAACTGGAAACGCGGTGGCAACTGGTACGCGCGGCAATCCGATTATAATTTCGAAAGCGTCATTCGATTTCGTGGCAACGATGGCCACGACGATCGCTAGCGGACTTCCTCTGACCATCGAGTTCGGGTAAGGTCGAAAAGCAAAACGCGCGACCGGATAATATACGGTCGGGTCTGGAGAGCAGCGTGATAAATCACCGCCGTCGAATGTTCGCAGGGGTGGGGCGGAATTATTATTCAGCAAGAAGAAGAAACACGAGGTGGACTTACCTGGCGACGACTGTAAGTATGCCGCTTGTTAAGTCAAGATTGCACGATACGATCAATGTTACACGCCTCCGTCGTCAATTCGCCATGCGAACGCCGCAGGGACCTTGGGACGACTGCTGTTCTGGTTGCGAGATAACCTCCTCACCGAGCGGCCGGAGCTCTTTATGCAGGGTGATACGGTGTAAGTGTTCTCTCACGGTTGTCCCCGCGTACGCTCGACCCGGTCGAACGCACGTAATCGCGTGATCTTCGACGATCGAGCGGAAAACTCTGAAATTCGCGATGATGCACAAGCACCGCTACACGCGTGGAAGTCGTCTTCTCCGACTTGCTTCTGAGAAAAATACCATAAATTAAGATGGCGTACACACTGCGTTCACTGCGTGCATCTTCGGTAGTAAGACTACAGATGTCGCCACCGTGCATTAAATGAGACGCATCGCGCAACGTCGCGTCGGGAGTCGGAGAGCGCCGCGTCGTTTGTCACTGAATTTTAAGTAGAAGGGCCTTAATGAATAAAATGGAGTAAAATTGTACGTAGAGCGATTTTTCTATATTTTCTCTCAGATCTTTATGTATATATGTTAATAGAAATACTGCAGGCCGAAGTGACGGTACATATGATTTTACGGGTATATTTGATACCAGGAACCAGGATATATGAATGTAAAATGGCCGCCCTGTATACGTAGTTTGCTGGCGGCGATATAGATGTCAGCAATCTGGCGTTATTGGCGTGTATTAATTAGAATCACTAGATTAATGAAGCAACGTCGTGTTCGCGTTTGCCATTTTTACGAACCTTTCAACCGTCATTAGCATGAGCTGAGCTGAAAGAAGCGTTCGTATAATCGTGTAACTGGAAACTTCTCGAGAACGTTTGTCGAACAATCGACACGATGAAATGGACAACGATAGGGAAAGAGAAATCATGTTAGAAAATACAGGTTAGTTGCAGATTTCGACATTGTGCATTGAAAGTTTCAAAGTGTGTATATTTTTTTGGTATAAGACAAGGAAAGAGAGACAGAGAGAGAGAGAGAGAGAGAGAGAGAGAGAGAGAGAGAGAGAGAGAGAGAGAGAGAGAGAGAGAGAGAGAGAGAGAGACTTACGACGAGAGAAAGCAAACATCTCGCGTGAAGGTGGTTACGAGAGTCGCATTGTGTCGATCGATCGTTTCGTGAATTTAGCGTTCTAGCCAATCAACGGTAGATATCACTCGCGAAGTTTCGTTCGTCGTTCGCCATTGCGAGTATTTTGCGTCAAAAGTCGCGACGTCATTTCGTTCCTTCCGCGTTTCGCGTTCGTTTCGTTAACTTTCTCTAATTGAGGGGGAGCGTGCTAATGCGGGATCCGTAAGTTTTTAATACGCAACTCGCCTGCTGCGGCGAATTGTAACTCGATTTAAGAAGTTTGTCTTGTTTATTTAGGAGGCCGGGTATTCTGGTTCTAGTAAACGACGCCGACTGGGAATTGCTGGTGAGTGTTGCGATATGCATACCCTCTATTTTATCTTGTTTTGCTTCCCCGTTTGGGTAATACGGGCATCTCCCGAGTATTTCCATAAAAAATTAGATTATTCCATAAGAAAATTTGCTTGGCCGTCGTAAGTTTCAAGATTCTCTATTGAAAGCCTCACATATTATACATGTGTACTAAGAAATTTGCTTAGCTGAAATTTAGAACATTCTTTAGAATGTATGTCGCTTAGCGACTGTTTATTTTAACATCTCTTTGCACACGCTTGTGTTCTTTGTGCTACAATCGCATTTACACTTGATTTTTCAATTCGGAGTTTCTAAGTTCCTCTCGAAATACGACTTTTGTCTTAAAAATATTCCGGAATTATGAAGGCTTTATTCGACGGAGACCTCTTAAATACAGATTTAAATGTTCAGCGAGAAGGGCAGGCGGATTTAAATTCGAAAAGGATTGAATAGGCTGCTTAACTTTGCAATTCTTAAGTCGTCACATTGATGTGAGAAGTTAATGCGCCATGTTCTCTGCGAACGAATCCTTTGCAGACGAGTTCCATATATTTCCCTAGATTTTTCTCGAATTATTAAAAACTTATTAGAGATACTAACTATCTAACTGTCCAGACTTGAGTATCCGACCAAGGTGAGACGCGGAAGAAATTAAACGCGATTTTTCATTCGTCCGTGAAGAAAATTGATTCGGAGAGAGCAAAAAAATTATTGAAAGGAGCGGTATCACGAAAATTACTAAATATCGCGAGCCCGCAGAACTGAAAAATCTCGATTGCGATTCGCGCGTGCCGAAAATTTCCCGATCGGCGATTTAAAATATTAATTCCCGAGGCGCGCGTGGCACAGGCGGGCGATGCGTGCGGTATATCTTTACCCGCGCGCTGCCTCTTCTTCGGCCCCTCGCGTAGGTGACGCGCGCGGCTGTTCCTGGCGTCTGACAAACGCCCGTGACCGGTTTTTACAAACGGCATAATCGGCCCGTCTTCTACCACCATCGTCGCCGCCGCCGCTGCCGCCGCTTACGCGGCGGTAGGGTGCGGGATAACGGAGCGATTCCGGACGCTGAAAGGGCGCAAATGACCTCGGTTTGCCACACCCACGGAGAGAATTATCATTTTAAATTTGTAAATGTACACGCCGCGGCTATTAGGAGGAGACGCGGTCTTCTCGGGGTAGCGCTTGAGCGGGAAGACGCTGGAACGCCAGGGTGCGTCGGGACGTTGGGCGGGGAGAAAGATGATGGCTCTGGCCATTATTATGATAATACCGGCGCTCCGCGAAGCCTCTCCGCAAGCTTCGCCTTTTGCGTTTCCGTGCCTTTTCGCTTGGCCCTCTTCTTCTTATATACATATATATATATACACATACACACATGTATATATATGTATATATGTATGTATATATGTACATATGTACATATGTACATATATATATATATATATGTGTGTGTGTGTCATCCGCCTTCCCTTTCGCTGCTTCTTGCTACTCGCATCTTTTTCTCCCTGCAACATAGCCGCGCTTTCACGAGCATTCTCGCTGGAGCTTCCCCGTACGCTGAAGTTTTCGTCCGTTGCATGTCGATGTAATGGATACGCTTGCTTTCGATAGTAGAAGATGTTGAAAGGCATGAGCGTTCGGGACGTGCGAAATTGAGGATGAGGTTTCCATAAAGTCGAAGTCGGTCTTCGCTCGGTAACACGCTGCGCGTGTGCATAAGGTTGTGCGAATGGATGCCGTTCGACCAAATTTTTATCGAGTATAGGTTGCCTTACAAGTGTGCGAGGAGTTCGTAGCGCAGCGTTTGTTGTTGAATGAACATTTCTTTGCACAGGCTCTTTAGTCTGTTCTCGCGTGTTCTCATGACGAGTACTTAACTATAATGTTCCGCATCATCATGTGCTTCATTAATCTGAAATATAAAAAATATAATTTTAGGGCGAAGGCGATTATAAGCTGTGTCCGCGAGACAGAGTGCTCTTCATTTCGACCTTGCATGGAGGATAGACGTGTCTTCGACGTTGAAAACTGACGAGAGCGAGTGGTATTCAGCCGAGAATACATCGCGGATTTTCTCCGACTGGTACTGAAAGCTTTATATATATTTATGAGACAATAAAGTACTTCTTTACGAGACATGCGTTTGTGATCAGTTTTAAGTAATGTTTAGATATATTAAGTTTCAGAAAGGAAAACGACCGCTTAGTTTCGATATAATGATAAATGTTAAATTTAACTTGATTCACTATTGAATTCTGATTCACTATTGAATAATACACATTCAATTATTTTGAAGTTTGCTTTTCAACGCTATTTCATTACGTTAATTCTCGTAAATTGTCATGGTTTATGAGCGACAAGTGATCACAATAGCATATATGTGATAAATTGAAATTTTTACATCGCACCATTTAATGGTCGTATATAATTGGATTTTATTTTCGGACACGTGTGAATTGCATATTTCTCTCGTTGGCCTCGCGCTTTTATTTTCAAAAAAGTATAACGAGACAGCGTCGAATATTCGAGCATCGCTTTTATTAGAGTTACTCGCGATGAAATCCGATGCATGTAATAAAAGATGGAAACTGTCCAAGTGAGAGAGAAACTTGTTTCCGACGAACTAGGAAACTTTGAGAAACGAAGAAAGAGAATTATTCTTTTTTTTTTTCTTTTCACACCAAAACCACATATCCTTTCTCTCGTTCCTAGCTGTGAGTATGACTTAACAATATCGTGCATATATATTACATTGCCAACTTAAATAGCTTTACTTACATTGCGTCATAATTACACAACTATGCGAGATAACGCGCGTTCTTTTCTCGATGAGAAACAAGAGAAATAGTTTTTGATGACAAGTGGAGAAATTACCACCGATAGTGCAAAGTTGTCAAATTATGCAGTATGTCCGAAAATGTGTTATTTCTGAGAATACCAAGCAGATATAAAATTGATTCCCTGAACTCCTCAATTTTATTACACGATGTATATTTTTGTTATTATAATATTGCGTTCACATTCGCGCTCACGGCCGGACGACGAACAAATAACCGCGTAAACACATGAAATTATCAAGGCAGTTGAATTCTATTATTTACAATCCGCTGTACAAAATCCCGCAATCGTCCGCTCTCCAAAATGTCAGACATTTGGTTTGCTCGGTCTGGAACTCAACCGTCACTTCTCGTTTACTCGTCATTACGGAGAACGTGCACTTCGTCTATCCGGGGGATATTAATTGATATCGATCCCGTGCGAAAGCGCGAGCGTAACAATAATTTATTCTCTCGCGTTCCTCGATATATATTTATTTATGTGTGGGATTGTTTTATAGTTTAGAATTTAAATTTATAACTACACGCATAAAATTTTTTTGTTTCACTTATTGCACATCTACAAATATAAAGCTTGGTATTCTTTGGATTTAATGTTCGCTAGGAAAAACGATTTGATCAGATCACCGTATTGAACTCTGATAGAGCTTACAAGTGATATCAATATTCTATGTGCAAAGTTCTACGGCACGATATATATTTGCTAAAGTTTCGTTTTCAGTTTAATGCAAGTAAGTATTACTCATTCATAAATATTTTTTTTTCGTTGAACGACGATGGTAAGTGATTTGTGACTGAAGCGAGCGAGTCGCATTTATGCTGGTCGCGCGATCGAAGTTGCGCTTCGTTAGCGCATCGAGTTTGTAGTTAGGGGCGCGTCTATGAAATAGATTTCGCGACACACCGGAACCAATCAGTCGCTAGCGGATCGATGGGACACCACTATACCGTATAATAATCTAGCGATACACAATGGCACCAATTAATCACGCGCATGAGCTGCGCGGAAAATCGGGGAAAAGATTCTACCGAGCGTCGATCATGAACGAGGAGTGTTAGCGGCTCTCTTCTCTCTCCTCTCTCTTCCTTCTCTGTTTCCTCCCTCTATTTCTCTCCTCCTCCTCCCCCCCTCTCTCTCTCTCTCTCTCTAGCTCGTATGTGCACTTTCCGATCCTTTTCACGCACGCACGTGCATGCGTGCGTGGTGCGTAACTTTGTGTGCGAGCATGCGAAACGCATCCGCCTATCAACGAGAGCCTGAGTGTGTCGCAATCGCTAATGGCCTGGCGGGGTTGGATGGTCCAGTGATTAATTGTGTCACCCATGATTACATTACGGACACTGCGAATCTACTATATTATATACGGTCATACGTGCGTGTTGCGCCGGGCGGATTACGCGTTATATGCGCTGTACGTATCCGTGCGTGTTTGCCGGACGCTCGAGGAAACGTGCTTGTAACAAGTCGGCCGCGACAGGAGAACGTGCCGGTGTAAATGTCCGGTCGGGTCCGCTAATCTGCGATTGCAAGTTGTACAGATGACGCGCATAAAGAAACGCTATCACCGCGCCCGATATCGCGAGCTTTTCCTATTTGCCCCGAGAATGCCGCGTCTCGTCGATATTCCGGCCGTTTGAGAGCATTCACACGCGTATTGTTCATCGAGAGGGAGAGAGAGAGAGAGAGAGAGAGAGAGAGGAGAGGAGGAGAGAGGAGAGGAGGAGGAGAGAGAGAGAGAGAGAGAGAGAGAGAGAGAGAGAGAGAGAGAGAGAGAGAGAGAGAGAGAGAGAGAGAGGCAGAGAGAGAGAGAGAGCCATATAATCCACGCGGATGCGATTTTATATTTTCGGAATGAGACATGAGACTCGTAAATAGCGTATGAAGTATCGAGGGGGTACTTACTTTCCGTTCGAGCGAAAAAGACGTCTCTCACAGGAGAATGTTTTCGAATTTTCAGCGATAGAAATTGAAGATTTCCGACCAATCTTCTCCGGGGGTGAATCAGACTCCGCACATGGGAGTGGAGGAATAGAGATAGCGAAAAATTAGGTTCCGTTACTTAGCGAGAACGTCGTCCTCCTCTTCTCGTTCCGGTCGTTTTAGTTTAATTTCCTAAAACTGCCCGCAATAGTATTTTCCATCTTTTCTCCCATACTGGCGTTTAAACGCTTTCGTGGGCCGAGGCTGGAGTCGGACACATGCCCCAAGACTCGACAGCGAATTAGACTCGGAGGCGAAGGTCTGGATACTCGCGAAGATGAAATCGGCTTGGTATCGCCGCATTATTAAAGTTTCGCGACGTCTCTAACAGTTGTTTCACTTTTAAACGTAGGTATAATTTCTGTTATCTCCAACTGGCGCGGTGTGCGCCGCGATGCCGCGAAATATAAAATAATAAAGGGCACGACGAACGGCGGGCGGGGAAGAACTTTGGCCATTACGTCGAAACAGTTTGGCGCTAACGCGTCTTCAACTTTTAACGGCTCCGCTTCGTATTTTGTATCCTTTTCCGCCCCATCGTTTTCTTGCAACTTAGGCAGCCAAATTTCCGCGCATCCATATCCGTGTCCGATCGCAGTTTCCGGCGCGATATATCGAAATCATCAGCCTCAGGCATTTAAACGAAAGCCAGCGTTCGCGAGTAATGTCGGGTGTCTCTTTTTTTCCCCGCGTCATTGGTAATTATGCGGTACTTAGTCGCATAATTACATTTAACCCGGAGCGTCCTCTCTCGCCCGCACCATATTTATTTCAGTTTACCGCCGCTACTCCGACCATTTGGCTACTAATCCTCTTAGTTGCCTCCTATCTGGCGCGCCGGTACAAGCCTTTTGTATTTCGATTTCTGTACATACACACCGCGATTAAGTTGTCCGACAAATGCTAACCAAGCGTATCTTTTACGCGCTAAAAGTCGCGAAATAAAATGAAAAGCTCGTCGGGCGACGGGCGATCTGTTTTCGCTTACTTTGCTACCTCACGTTGCAATTACAGAGTAGGATAATCGTATCACACACCCAAACGTTCTTCTTGTTTCGCGTTTCTGAAATTTGCGCTCTACATTTCGCGAAATTGTTCAACTCCATCCGCTTCTTTCTTTTCTTTTTCTTTTTATTTATTTTTTTTTCTTAATTCGACACATTCGACGGACGAACTGCGCCATATATCGCGACGAGATAACGCGTCTATTTTCAATTCTGCGCAAAAGCCTCTCTCTAAGCACTTCGTGCCGTGCATCGTGCATCACATCCCTCGCGAAACCATTGTCCGCGATTTTTGCGACGGGAGGAGTGACGGAACGCGCGAGGAGCGGCCACTTAAAAATTGCAAGCTCGCCGCCATCCGAACGCTAGTCATCCAATGGCACGTAGGGCCGTGCTTCTCTTCCGATCCGAAGCGAGGCGAAGAGGCGCACGCAGTAGGTAGGTAGGTATGTCTCTTGTACCTATCTACCTGAAAGGCCGAACCGGATTCATTTGTAGGGACGAACAATCTCGCACGGATAACACCTGCCGCTTGCGTTTGGCTGCGAGCCCAAAATCATTTCGCTAGGATCGAGTCCGGGATCGGCTGGGATCCCGACTATTTTCGTGATTTCTTGTTCTGCTCACCAACACACACACACGCGTGCGCACGCGCATACTCCTCAACGCTGCACCTCTATTCGTGCTTTTTTGCCTCTTTCCTCGCCCCTCCGTTTTTTTTTGTTTGCAAAAATGTCGACGAGACGTGGACCATCAGCATAAACCGAGCAGTTTTATGAGCCGTAGCGAGTAGACGCTATCACGTTACATTTTCTTCGAGCGACGTCCGCACTGTTCACCGCTCCGCGATTTCTGCCGCTGATCATCGCGCAGACTTTGCCCGCCGCGACCGACCGCGTTAAGAATTTCAACGATGGCCCTTTTTAACGGCGTCTTTTTTCCCGAGACACCTCTTTCTTATCCTCGAGCGGAGAGGAGGACGTAAGAATCTCTTCCTCCCTCACTGAGAAACGTTTACAAATGCCCTCTTTCCGTCCTTAATGAGCTTCGCAAGTGTTGTAGAGTAGCTCGATATAAGGGAAGACACGTATTTCTTTACGTATGCTTTCTCTGTGACGCTGAGGAGAATTAAGAATAAATAATCAAGACGAGATGGAGCGAAATTTTGAAAAAGAACGAAAAGCAGTTCTGGGGGGTGAGTAGTTGAATTAAATAATTATACAGGATGTCCGGGGTTTTCTGGAAACAAAAAATTGTGAAGATTAATCAGATTAAACTGAAGAGGAAAGTCAAGTACCATTTTACAAAAATTAC